GGGGAAGAGGGAAAGAGAAAGTCCTTCAGTTTGCATTCAAGTGTTTCATAGCAAACAAGGATTCTTGCATGAAGAAATGGTAAGTAGTTAATTAACATAAGAGGGATTAAATGAGGCTAAATGGATATCCAGCTACTTGCCTTTAGTACAAGCAGCAGAGACATCTATTAATATCAGCATCCATTTCTGCTGGAAGAAGATTGTTGCATCAATAGCTTCTACCGTGACCCCATCCACCTGCAATTACAGAAAATTAGAGGAATGAAGCCCATGCATCTTAAGCAAGGTCATAGAATAAGCATTAGAACAAGCCTCTACCTTCAGGATCTCCGTTTTGCTCTTGTTGTAGGCACTTCTGAAAACTGCTCTGGAAGAGGTTGAGTTCACCATGTAACCAAGGCTAATGGCATAGGTGACATTCATAATCTGATCTGGTACCCCCGATTTCTGGAATGCAATCTGCCAGGTTGCCATTGCCTCACCAGGGCCTTGGAACTGGATAGGAGAGGCGAGATTTAACATTTGCACAAGATACTCCTACAGATCCAATGCTTTTTTGCACTAATTGAATTAGTACCATCTTCAATACTTCAGCCACTTAAGCAAAAGTGCCCTCCACTAGCATGCAAAACTAACTTGACTCAGCCAAACCCTTAAGCATTTATTTGAATTACAAGATATGGTCATTCTAGGTCAGGTGCAGGGGGCTTGGCCTTTTTAAGGTTCTGACATAACACTTTGAGAAGTCGCTTTAAAAAAAAAAACATGCTACACAAAATAGGCTATTACATAGGTGTCCCAACATAACCCTTTTTTAATAAGGGCTACAGTTGGTCAGCTTGTACTCCAAGGAAGGGTTATAGGTATAGGGTGCAGCATTTTTGAATTGTCAAATTAATTTGTTGAATGAGGCAAGAAGGCCTCTTGGAATTCCAAAGAATTGATAGAGGTTCCCGCAACAGGCAAAAGAAACTTACATTAAGCATAGTGACATTTGATGCAAGTGGGCCCTCCTGCTGAATCACAGGTACATCCCTTCCAACTGAAACCTTGGAGGGAAAAAAAAAGTCAGTGCTAATATGGACATCTTAGGTACAGCACTTACACTTCATTACATTAAAGTACTGTGGTACAGGATATCCAAGTTCTTTGCAGCCTTGTAGGGCAAGGTGTTAAAGGCCATAACAGTTACAGTAGCTTGTCTTAATATACATACGTGCAATACAAGTTTTCTGCATACTGTTCTAGTTTGTTCTTTGCATGTCCAGACTGTGAGCAACTTTTAGTGCACACCTCACTGTACTGATTGTATTGTACTATTATTGTCATTCATTACACTGTGGCTGTGTTGTCTGTGTAAAGCCACTGTTGCACTGCAACCAATAAAGGATCTATCTTGTCTTGTGGTGAACTATTAAATGCCTGCCAGCCTTGGGTGACCTGGACAAACCTCAACAGCACAACAGGTGAAGACTCAAGGTGCTTCTCCCTTCGAGATGAACCACAGCAGGACATTACCTCCATGTAGTTCTCCTCACAGACCACCTCACGGGGCTTCCAGGGCAGAAGCAATCTGCAGGTGATGGCAGAAGGGAAAACCGTCGCCCTGCCGGACTCATCCCGTGTTACAAACTGGTAGCTCAGGGTAAACGTCTGATCATTCTGTGGATAAATTCAGAGGCCATGAATGGGGGAATGTTGTAGATGCCCAAGAAACCACATTAACAGCACTGGAGATAGAAATGCTGCATTAGAGTTTTACTTAGTTAAATCATAGCATGGAAGCATGACAAAAAGAAAGTGGGGGTATTTCCAGCTGCATTTATAACTATAGCTGGCTTACTACCCAACTAAATTAGGTCCTTAGAGCTTTCTTAGGAAAGATCAATACTTCAAGATGCCGCAATAACTTCTACAGTCCTGTTGCGCCCCCCTTTTTTTTTTTAAAGGCAAAAAAAAATGCATCACACCAGCCCACAATACCTACACAGGCCCACTCCAACCACACAGCTATGGGCACCTCCTTGCAGGATAGCTTACCACATTCACCACATGACAGGCAAAGAAAGAAGCCCTGAAGATTAGCCGGCCAGTGAGGTTGAAACTGCTGTGAGTGAAGCCGCATTGAGCAGCATAGGTCTCATCAAGGACCTGGACCACCTGTCCATCTGAGGGGGGGGAGAGAGAAAAAGTTAAGTTACTCCTGGCCTGGCACCAGCTGAAGGTGGCCTTAGCAGAGTCCAGTAATAACCCCCCATAAATTGGGTTCCAACTTACCCACAACATTAAAGTCATAGTCTAGTCCTGCAAAGCCACTGTCCACGGACACCCAGAAGTAGCGGTCCCGACACTCAGACACAATGGCACCTGCTCAAGATGGGAGACAGCAGTTCTCTACACTCAGCAGGGGGGGGCAGAGTGGGGTGGTCTCCAGGCCTGATACCATGGAGAATCCCCTCACACCACAGATATGTAGGCAATCCTGTAAGGGCTCATTAGAGGTCAAGGATAATGTATACCCCCACCCAACCAGTCTGAAGCTTAGTTAAAATCTGAATGCCCAGCTCACTTTAGTGTTGAAACAGACATTCATAAGCAGGACTTCTACCAGGCCAGCAAGAATGAAGTTCCCCCACCATGAGTATTCCCTCTTACAGGCATCCATCTGCTTGCAACAGAGTTTAGATGTACCGATTAGCTTTTCACCAGGCACCACAGTAATTCAGGGGGATTACCTGGAGGCGGATCAGCTGCCGTCACTCCTGTAGAGAGGCTTGCGTACAGCATAACGACTCTAGGGAGGGAAAAAAAAAAGTATTTAGCGCCAGAGAAAAAAGCGGTGAGGCAGAGACCGCAGATCTCAACCTCCTCCATTACTTTCAATAAAAAACGCGTTTCAGACTAGACAAACACTCCTCCAAGACCAACAGGCGGTTAAAAGGAAGGAACGCAGCTCAATAACCCACTCACCCTATAAGGAGCTCAAAACTCCCCGCCATTCTCCTATTGACTGATCGAGGAGGGGAAAATGCCGCCACCAACAGCTTGAAACCTAAAAACCACATGCCGCGCGCTACGTAGAAAAGCAGTCAGGAGTTGCTTGGGGGAGGTCGGTCGCTCCGCGTATTTCAGACGGACACAATCGCCGCGCGCCCAATGGGAAACGCGCACCTGGGTCTGGTTGCCATGGCACTTAATTGCCACAATCTTTAGCTCGTGTGGCGTTCATCACGATTAATTCAATCAAGCGCGAGAAACGAATGAAAGGTGCGCTAGTTTGGGGGGAAACTGTCTCAGCACCGCGGCACCAGTAGCGTCGATAGCATCCTCAAGGAGTAAAAAGACGACTCTGCTTTTAGTGTTTCGGAACAGGGGTGCCCCATGCTGTCCTGGGATCCCCAAACCTGCTGGTTTTCACTGCAGCTGAACTTTTTACGTGAATGAATCCGTATCTGAACCACCACGTCGCTTGGTTTGAACCTTTGCGAGGTTGTTGTGGACGCTATATTGTTTTAAAGTGACATTAAAATCCAGTTAAAAGACCTATTATTAGGACTAAGGATTAAGGGTTGAAGGTATTAATTGAGCACTCGGTAGAAAACGAAACCAGCTAGCGTGTGGGTCGCCAGGACCAGAGCAGCTGGGAATCCCTGCTTCAAAATACCACATTGTATTCGCCTGGCACAGCGTTCTGTGGAAATGATTATTATTGTTAATAATAATAAGCATTACACTTATATCGTGCTTTTCTGGACACTCCACTCAAAGCTCTTTACTGGATGACCACCTGGATGATGTGACAGCAGCCAGAGAGCACCAGTACGCTCCCCACACACCAGCTCTCTGTGGGGAGGAGAGCAGAGTGATGAAGCCAGTTCATAGTTGGGGATATTGTTTTAAGATAATCGCTAAACGCAATTACAAATGGTTACTAATGCATTTGGTAGACAACTTTACCCGAAGAGCGATATATATACAGTATGTAACTTTAGGGCTTGTGCAAAGGTGGTTAAACACTCTGCCTGTGAGGATGGAAACAGGATGGAGATGGATATGCTCTCTGCAGGTTATGGCTGAGCAGTCACATTTACACCGCCCCCCCACTCTTCCTCATCTCTCCCCTTTTCCCAGTCCCGGTGTCCCGTAACCAATCGGCAAACACAGAAAGGCATGTTTAGGTGAACCTACAGTATCTACGAACTGAAATAAGAGAATTCTATATGACTCAAGAATATTTTAAACTGCGTAACTGAATAAAACATCAATAACACAGGTCATCAGCTTATACAATGAACCATTGTTTGACGGACTAATATGGGGGAAGGGGTGTCCGTTTAGAAGGATTTGTTTACACAGTTTATGTTTAAACAATTGCCTAATTTACTTTAAGTAACTTTTTTCCAACCCCATGTGAGAATGTGTGCTTACTGGATCTAACAACTGCAAATAATGGAAATTGTTCCCGTGTCTGATATCATAAACAGGCAAGTTCTTTATTTAATGTATCGTATATATATTGTATACCATTCGATAAGGCACATGAAACACAACACCGATCGTAAGCAATTAACCAATTAACCACTAAAGACCACCACTGATATCCCTGAATTTCAAACTTATGAAGTGATCATTTTACTTTGTTTTATTATTTGTGCATTTCACCGTTGTTTCGGGGAACGCTCTGTTTTTCTCATTTTACAGAATTCCCCTTCAGCAGATTTTGTTAGTTTAAAACTAAATCTGATAAACCAGGGATTTACTCTCTATATGATTATTATATGTACAAAGATGACTGTATATATGCAATGAAGTATTTAAGAGAGAACATAACATCAGTAGCCAGCAGCCATATCACTCTGCAGCTCACAACTGGCGGCCCACTGAAGCTAAGCAGGTGTGAGTCTGGTCAGTACCTGGATGGGAGACCTCCTGGGAAAAACTAAGGTTGCTGCTGGAAGAGGTGTTAGTGGGGCCAGCAGGGGGTGCTCACCCTGTAGTCCATGTGGGTCCTAATGCCCCAGTATAGTGACAGGGACACTATACTGTAAACAGGTGCTGTCCTTTGGATGAGATGTAAAACTGAGGTCCTGACATTTTGTGGTCATTAGAAAATCCCAGGGTGTTTCTCAAAAAGAGGAGGGGTGTAACCCCGGCGTCCTGGCCCATTGGCCCTTACCAATCATGGCCTCCTAATAATCCCCATTTCTGAACTGGCTTCATCACTCTGTTCTCCTCCCCACTGAGAGCTGGTGTGTGGTGAGCGTTCTGGCGCACTATGGCTGCTGTCACATCATCCAGGTGGGGCTGCAAGTTGGTGGTGGTGGAGGGGAGTCCACATTACCTGTAAAGCCCTTCGAGTGGAGTGTCCAGAAAAGTGCTCTATAAGTGTAAGCAATCATTATTATTATAGTAGAAGTGAATTTAGTGTTGGTAGTACAGATCTTAACAGCATTTCACGTCACGACCAAGAGGTGCCAGTGGAGGTGTGTGGGCATCTTATTAGGACGCCCCCCGGTCGGCTTCCGCTGGGGCTGTTTCAGGCACGTCCCACTGGGCAGAGACACCGTGGCAGACCCAAGACACGCTGGAGGGATTATTTCTCTCGGCTGGCTTGGGAGCTGGGATCTGCTGCTGGGGACAGGGTAGTCTGGGCCGATCTACTCGGCCCGCTGCCACCACGACCCTCATCAGGGATAGCGGAGTGAAGATGGATGGATGGATGAGCGTTTGTGCTCCACTAGGCGGAGCTCTACTGTAAGAAGTCCTGAACTCTGAATGAGAACAAAGATCTTGACCGCATGGTTATTAAAGATTCCACTCCTCCGTTCTTGAGAGTAAGGGGAGCTAAACTCGCGTGTCCTGGCTCATTTCAAATCAGGGCTCGCCCAATTCTGCTGTGCCTAAACATTCCTCTTAATTGCCCTCCTCTCCACTTTGCAAAATGCATTCACTCATTGCTGGATAAATAACATTGCACATACATTTGTGAACAATTTAATCTGAAATACATTGTTCCATTACACCATCTGCAATGGTGTACTTAAAGGTACAAAAGCTTATTGGAGCCCTGTTTGCACCAATACGTTAGCTACAGTATCTCGTATAAACAAGTTTTTTTTTTGCTTCCATATAAAAAGCATATTTCCCACCATTTGAATGTCTAAGAATTCATGATAAAGGTCTTTACAGGAAGAGGAGGAGGTAAAGCTAACCATACTGGCCTGCTGCACGAATGTGCAGTGCACAGGGAAAGGTTAAGAATCTCAGCATGAACACCCAGACCTCTAGGAGCTCCTGTTTGTCCTGCTGGCAGCTACAGTACATGACAGAAAATTTCTCTCTTTGCTGTATCAAGCCCAAGCTGGATATCCACAGGTTTTAATCTGAACAGTGAGACTTCTCACCATGCGACTTTATGGAGGTTAGAAAAAAAAAAGTTACTCTTGTCGTGCTGGAAAGCTTTTACACATATTGGCGTCAAGCTCTTTGCTTATAATGTAATTATTCCCCATGCAGGTAGCTGAAGTGACCATTGCTGCTGTACTAGATGGGAGTGCTCTGTTGTCCTCGGGTGCTGCTGGCAGTCCTTGTCCATGCTTTGTAAAATATAAAACAATGATGTCTGTAAACCTAATAAACACAAGAACATTTCTCAAAGAGAACTGGGAAATATTGAGGACTGTTTCATAGTCTCCAGCTCTCAAATCAAACTTTTTTATTTTTTAAGGGGGGGGGACATATGTGCAGTTTATTATTTCCTTTGCAGCAGTACTTGTTTGCTGGCAAGTCAGCTAGTAGCTGAGAGAACCACATACAGGATGTGTAATTTTTGCTTCTGGTACAGTGCTATTCTTCCAGATACTGGCATCAGTAATGGTAATTTAGCATTTTTGCTATTCCCCAATCACCATTTAATAATTAAAACAGTGTATTCCGTCATCGAATACCACATATAAACCCATTTCCTGGAACACATGGTCCTTGTGACCAGCAAAGAAAGGACCCTCCTCCAAGAGGCTTTCAAAGTCTTTTATTAGAAGTAAACTGTAACAGTAACAGAGGCAAGTAAAAAGACTCCCAAAAAGGCAATGGCAAGTCCCAGGACTGGTACAGGGGAGGTTCCCCAATCTGGAAACAACAGAAACAGGGTTATGAACCAGGCAGGGAGCAGAGTGTGACGCAGATGAGAAACAGGCCACTTACCTTCCTCAGGCTGCAGAGGGGGAAAATCAGCCTTCTGGAAGGCAGCTTTACCTGCAGTGGAATCATGGGTCACTTTGGACTTGACAAGCCCACAGGAAGAGAAGGAAGAACATTACCTCTCATGTTACCACTGTGGGTGCTTGGGACAGCCCTGCTTCTTTTCAGACCTGCAGAGGAAGGGTTTACATAGAACTGAAGAGGAACACCCTATTGAAGCACACAATGAGCAAGCAGGATCTCACTTAGTGCTCTGGGTGATAGCGCACAAGAAGGCAGCAGGAACAGTACAAACATCTGTAGGCTGCTACTCTTTGGCAATCCCATATGGAGTAATGTTTCCAAAGCAGTCTGGCAAATGTGGACCCTAGACGTGATCTTAAGCATTTTCACCTGCAATTGTAATTACATCATAAACGTAGAGAGGAGTTCTGTGGCCCCAGAGAGGTACTGCTTTGCATCACTGCATGAGACTGTATGAGCACAGGTGGCCATTTTCAGCTGGTGGAAAAGGGGACAGTTCATCTGGAATGAGCATCAGCCTCTTCAAATAAAATGAGGAACTGAGAACTACTTTGGCCGGAGTCACGAAGCCTTTGGGTCAGCAAAATTGGAAAAAAAGTGCCCAACTTACCTTTCAAAGGGTAAGTTTTGAATATCGAGCCAATGCCAGCACTGTGCAGAACAGACACTCTGCTCACAGACAGGCTCCTGGTATCATTAACTGAGTAGGAACATCTCACAGTCAACCTAAAGACAAAAAGACCAGCGAGCAGTCAGAGTGCGCCAAAGGCCCTTCTCCCAATGAGGGGAATTTAGTAGTGCTGCAGGCAGGATTGGTTTAGGACTCATGAACACCAGGTGGGACAGTGATGTCAAGTGGCACCCTAGACCGTGGTTATTCCCAAGACAAGAGCCTCTCCATGCTACAATACTGGCGAGCTGCGTACCTGTAGTCACTGTCCCTTGTGACAACGGGAGCCCTCTCTGGCAGAAGCAGCCTGTTGAACACCACCTCGTTCTCGTAGATCAGATAAGTGCCATCCATCTGAAATGAGCCGTAGGAGATCGAGAAAGGCCTCTTCCCCCCCTCCAAAAGGCCCCACTTGATCAAAAGTGAAATCGTAATGGAATATTCACAGTGAATTTTAAATGCGTTTAATCCATCTACAAATTAATGTGGATGTCAGTGCTCAACTGTTTTGAATATAGGTTCCTGGTCTTTAATTAGCACAAAGTCTCTGATTTTAATACAGCAAAGAGCTTATAAAGTGCACATGACCAAAGGCCTCTTTTCCCCTTAACCAAGGAAGCAGGTCAGGAATCGATAACTCCAATCCTTGAGAGTCAGAGAAACCTTTGGTTTTTCCATTCCATTCAATTCATTTAGACAGTACGTTGAGTCACCTGATTAGCTTTTAGATCTGTTGGTTAATCAACCCTTAATAGCAAAAGATGATGGTAAGCGGCATTATCACCTTGTAGTCTGATCTGGTCAGATCTCCAAAGCTAAGCAAACTTGGGCCTGGTCAGTACTGGGAGATCTGAAGAAATACTGGTCCACCAGCAACCTGGTAATGGTTCTTCCCTGTGAACCACAGTTTCCAAACCAACACTCCAGTATGGTGACTGGGGACAATGCTGCAGGGGGTTTCACACTGCATGATCTTTAAAAATCCCTTGACAAGGAGTACAGGGGTCTCCTTGGTATTTTGGTTAAAATTTCACTTCACCCCAGGCTTGCACACATTAGGTCCATCTGTTTTATAAAGTGACGTTTCCCTTTTGTTTAGTCAGTGAAGCAATTTTGCTCTTCTCCACCTGATCTGATGTGCAATGACCCAATGCACTTCAGTGGCAGATGAAATGGGTTCCCTCACAAGTGAAGCTCTTCATAAATTCATTTCATAACATACCCTGAACCTGGTTCCACAGGTGGTCACATTGAAGGTGAACAGAACAGTAGTATCACTGGTGTCTGAGGGACTGCAGCTTCTGTCCAGAAGGCTGGTTCCGAGAGGGTCAATTACTGGAACTGTAGGAGCAACACTAGCCACTACAGTGATGACTCCATCAGGCATGCACACTGCACAGGGAAAATGGGGGACAACATAAAAGAGGTCTAACGGTTTGGCCCCACATTGACGGGATCCTTAAGAACAATCTTACCGACAGTCTCGTCAGGATCAAAGCGACAGCGCTTTGCGTTCACATATTCCACTCTCAAGGTCCTGACATCCCGTACAGTCAGAGCAAATGTGCCAAAGAATGACTGGAGGCTGATCTCCTGCAGAGCGACAGAAGGAAAAGAATCGATGCACAGCCAGTTACGGGGAGCCTGAGGGGTCAGCATCTTGTACTAGAACTTTCAAGCCCTCACAGACAAGGGAAAGAGGCAATTCTTGCCTTTCGGTAGTCCATTTCAGCCAAGCCACATTCATGTAATCAGTCGAATATGTAAATATCAGATTCTAAAATTACACAAAAGTTGGAAAGTAGTTTCTTTGGTAAAAGTGCTCAATAGGAAAACATTTGAGGTTAAGAGCAGAAGAACAGGAGGAGTTCTGATTAGTTCTAGTATCCTTCCACTCAAAGCAACACAGAGGGGTGCCACCACCCCGCCCCCACCCCCTTAAAAAAATTAAAATTTGGAATCCCACCAGTTAAGAAACACATGTTTTCCCTGAACAAGGATGCCCAATTCAACGGTAGAATTAACATTCTTGCATAAGAAAGGTCCAGAACCTCCCTCACTAAACCTTACCTTGGAGACATATCCAATTACATTGAAGGGCACCTCCAGGAAAAGGGCATTAGTACTGTTCTTGAGGATGTAGCCTCTGTGTGCTGCCAGCTCAGGGGTCAGGGGGTCAGGCCCAACGCACACCTCCCGCATGTATCCCATGCGGCTCACCTGGAAGAAGATGCTCTTCTGCTTGCACATAGCCGAGATAACGCCGATGGCTGGAGAAGAGGACAAATCGATTAGGCCACACCCTCACTGTACACACAGGACTGGACATTTGTACTAAATCTATTGCCTCTTCCACCCTGGGCAATGGCTCACTGGTGGGGAGTGATCTTGCAAACAGGAGAAAAACCAACATGGACAAAATTCTTAGCGAAGAGGAAGTAGAGGAGTCAGCTTAGGAAAGCAAGTCCAAGGCTAGACTACAGGGTCTAGAAAACCTGAGTATTCATTAGGGCATTCTGTGCTGTGGATCAAGGTTACTTACAGCAAACCCGAATCTCACTCTGAGCCACAATACTAGCTGGGTGGTAGTAGGGATCATTCTGGGGAACAATGTTCAGGGTGTAGTTGATCTTTAAGGTGTACTGCATAATCCCTGGTAACACAAACTGGTGAAGACAACGCATACCGTGTTAAGAATGCTGCAACTGATCCTCTGCGTCCACAGAATAACTTTCAAACAATTTCTCACCTTTTTTTGCACAATAGGAGCATCAAAGTGGACCACAAGTACGTATGCGTGGGTTCCGTTCTGGTGCTGGACATCAGTGACTAGGAAGCCCGTCGCTTCAGCTTCGGAAACAGTCAGAGCCAGCCCATTGAGGTCCAGTGCCTTTAGCTCCACATCGGGATTGAAGTTGCCCAGGTAGACTATGAAGGTCCTCTCATTTTGGTTGGTTTCTTCAGTCATTGAGAACAGAAGAGCATGCAACCCTTTGGATTGTTAGGCCTGCACAGCGGCCATGATAAAAGGACTAGACTACATTAGTACCCTCAAGGGGTCAGGTTTAGCATCTCCATTCTTTTAGAGAAGAACCACTACTGGCCCATATAGTTATTAACTGTACTACATTTGGAGGACGGGGGGAGATCATAGTAAAGATATAAAGTGCACAACTGCTGTGTTCTACAGTCTACAATAGGATTTAGAAATGTACTCTGTAGACATATCCTTGTACGGTTACAAGCCATGGTATAATCCCACTTCAAATGTTTGGTTGCATCAGTACATATGAAATCAGGAATCATTTCATATGTAGAACCTGAAAACACGTTGCCTTTAAAACACATGGCTCACTTACGGTCAATAGTGAAGGGTGTCTGGGGGATGAACGGGGTGCTCACTGGCACAAACATGCAGTGTTGCGTCACTTCATACTGGTCATCTGCCCACAGGTGCTCAAAGAACAAGTCAATGGAGTAACGCTGGTTGTAATGGTTGTCGATAACACAGCTCTGCAACAAGGTTGGCAATAGTGAGCAGGAACAGAGGAAACAGGACCATGTTCCACAGGAGCCCAATGTACTGTTCCAAAACCGTTTACCTCCAGGTACCCTCCCACTGCCCCATAAGGGATTGAAATTTGCAACAGTTGCTCGACCAGCTCCAGCTTGTAGCCCCTCTGGTTCATGGTGCTTGAGCCCAACAGCTGACCATCCAGGCCCATTCCAATGCTCTTATCTTCAAAGCTGGATGGGTCCTGCACTAGAGGCAGCATGATTCTGGGGGTGCTCCAGATCAGGTAGGCACCATCAAAGGTACCAGGATCTGGAAGGCCAGGGGGAAAAGGGTCCTCCAGATTGCTTTAAAATGTTTCATAGTAAACAAAGAATCTTGCTTCCTTCATGAATGTATGGTAAGTGGTCTGTTAACATAAGGGATTAAATGAGGCTAAACCGGGCATCTGACTACTTGCCTTTAGTACAAGCAGCAGAGACATCTATTAATATCAGCATCCATTTCTGCTGGAAGAAGATTGTTGCATCAATAGCTTCTACTGTGACCCCATCCACCTGCAATTGTAAAAAAAATAAAAACTTGGGAGTATGACCTTGCTTAAGATGCTCAAGCTTCATACATAGTGTTAATTAGAATGAGACACTACCTTAAGGATCTCCGTTTTGCTCTTGTTGTAGGCACTTCTGAAGACTGCTCGGGAAGAGGTCGAGTCCACCACGTAACCAAGGCTCCTGGCATAGGTGACATTCATAATCTGTTCTGGTATCCCCAGCTTCCGGAATGAGATTTGCCAGGTGGCTGTAGCATCACCAGGGCCTTGAAACTGGACAGGAGAGTCAGGCTTTGCCATTTGTATGAGATATTCATACACACACACACACACGTTTTTTGTACTAGCTGAACTTTTATACACAGTATCAGTTTAACAAAGGGTTCACGTGATTAAGTTAAACTTCTTTAGATGGTCTGTGAATGTTTTATAAATTGACATTCATGTCACAAACCACATATTAATAGGCTTACCTGAAGCTCACTTAAATAAGATACTAGAAGGAGTAACAGTAAGTAAGAAGCTGAAGAACCACTCGCTAGTAAGCCTCAACTCTAATTTCTGCAGAAAACGGTTATATAACTAGTGGATTTAAGCAGCATCTCATGTTTCAGTGTGACTAACTTGCCAAACTCGCAGATGAGTGCTTGTCACCAATCAAACAAACAATTCTCAATTTAAGGGAGACCTAGTCCAGATGACACAGGGAAAAAAAAACAGAAGCTCACACCAAGTGTAGCGTCTTGTAGCATAATCGGGTCCTCTTGGTCGATCAGAGGAACATTCCTTCTCACCGAAACCTTGGACAACAGGACAGAAGTCAGAAGTCGGTCTCAGTTCTACAAAAATGCTGCGTTAGTTTACAAATCCTCTGGTGAAGAAGAAAAGGATTTTTCCAATATGAAGAAAAGGTACTGTAGTCCCTTTACAGTGCTGTTAAGATCTCAGCACATCTACAGAGTCCTTGCTCAGGGACTTAGACGTAAAGCAAGACTTTGTAGAGATCACTTCAGACCACATATAAAGGTGTCCTTCAGTAGGACACCTTAATGCATCATCTTATGAGAAAGGAACAAGTAATAGGTTTATTCCATGCTGAAAAAAGAAGAAAGAAAACACCATGTTTCGGCCGTGGGGCTGAAGGGTACACCTGAAGAAGGCCCCATGGCCGAAACATGGTGTTTTCTTTCTTCTTTTTAGGGCATGGAATAAACCTATTACTTGCTCCTTTGCAGCCTACGCATTCTGAAGCAGCTGCCAACCTGAACTGTCTTATGAGAAAGTCTGGAATAGCAAGACGAAACTTTTAAATGTCTGCCAGCCTTAGGTGACCTGTACAAACCTCAACAGCACATCAGGTGAGGAGCTCACATCAGCTTGGGCACAAGACTCAATGGGCTTCTCCCTTTGAGATGGACCACAGCGGGACATTACCTCCATGTAGTTCTCCTCACAGACCACCTCACGGGGCTTCCAGGGCAGAACCAGGCTGCAGGTGATGGCAGAAGGGAAGACCGTCTCCCTGCCAGACTCATCCCGCGTCACGAGCTGGTAGCTCAGGGTAAACGTCTGATCGTCCTGTGCGCAGAGCCAGAGGCCATGAGTGGGGTATTTTTTGCACAAATGTCAAGAAAAGTGCAGTGCCCCAAGCTTATACATCAGAATTGACCACTGAGGACTTCCAAGTCTGTGAAGTATTTCACCCATGTAAAATCAGTTGACAAATGAGCGACACAAATTTAGGTCTTTTGTCAGAGTAACCGCGGTTGTTGTAGACCTAGCAGTCACCAACAAGTACATGAGTGCGACTGCAGCAGAATATCAAATACGGGAGGTTCCATTCTGTGTTCTCTTCTGTATTGAGTCGTTTATTAATCAAAACTGAACAGCAGATTTATACATTCTGCCAGTCCACTCCTCGCACACAAAAACAGACGGAGCTGCTAGGCTCCAGATTATTTCGCTCGAGTTTAAAGTGCTATTTTTTACGCTTCCGCCAGCCGTCGCCCGGCCCCGCTACAAGGACAGTGTAGTCAGTTTGCGCAGGGCGCCGAGACTGTGCGTCCTTGTTCCGTCTTTTACACACCTACCGAGTAAAAATCGTTCACACAATTTTTACAAAAACAAAGTTTGTTGTTCAATGCCAATTCATCGGCAGTTCCTACAGAGCTCGAGTCTTGCTTTTAATTCAACACGACAGTACGGTAATGGGATTAAAACGGTTTTCCTTCGTTGAACTGTGAAGTCGTTTACAATTGGGGATTGCTTTGGTATACATTTTCACAGTGTCTTGTGCTATAGTGTTGCTACATCACGCGAAAGAGATCCGAGGTGTTTGCCCTACTAAACCGATGGCACCCGAAGTTCCGCTTCGGAAACGGAACTCATGTACAGTAGATAACCAGCTGTTCAAAAGCCGATTCACGAGCGGTGTAAACTCGGTTTATGATCAAGAGCATGAGGGTAGGGGATTTTACCACATTCTTCACATTGCAAGCGAAAAACGACGCTCGGAAGATCAAGCGACCGGCGAGGGTCAAAGTGCTGTAGGTGAATCCGCATTGCGCTGCGTAGGGAGCGTCGACTCTCTGGGTCTCCTGCTCGCCTGCAAAGGGAGGGTATCGGAGTTAAGACAACAGCCGTGAATGGAGTGCAGGCTTTCCCCCCGAGCTACGGGAAAATAAAATCATCTTTCAGCTCACCAATGACGTTAAAACTGTAGTCTTGTCCTGCAAAGCCGCGGTCCACAGACACGCAGAAGTAGCGGTCCTGACACTCGGACACGATTGCATCTGTTCAAGATAGGAGCACGCAAAAAGGAAAATTCACACATTCACCCTTAATAATATTAATGTCAATCAATAAGGCGAACTTGGACATACCGTTTGAATTCTGCATTATGTATTCGAGTATTTTCACTTCAAATTACTTGGAAGTAAAAAAGTTGTGTATATATACAGTATAGTAGGAATTCTTTTAGCTGCCAGTAAGAGAACTATCGCAAGAAATCAAGTAGGCAGCTGCGTCAGCATGCGTAGGCTGCAAAGGAACAAGTAATAGGTTTATTCCAGGCTGAAAAGAGAAGAGAGAAAACAACGTTTCGGCGTTGAAGCCTTCTTCAGGTGTGAAGGATTATTCCCTGCTGAAAAAAGAAAACACACCTGAAGAATGCACCGCAGTCGAAACGTTGTCTCTTTTCTTTTCTGCAGGGAATAAACACCTACTTGTTCCTTATCGCAAGAAAATGATTTAATTGAAAACAAAAAAAAACCCACAACAACACCAGAACACCGAATGGATCGATGTTGAGATAAATGTTGGGATTTATACAATGAAAAGGATCACCTTTTCTCTCGGGTTATAGGTGGAGAGGTTTAGCAAGTACTAGCAAGCCCGGGTTAAATTTATGACCCCATTGAGACCTGCTTGTATTCTGCGAAAGAAGACAACGCAATCTTTTTGTATGGATTATTAGTTGTTAGTGGTTTATGGTGTTTTTACAAACTATTTCCATATGTAATCTGCCCAATTACTGTAAACATTTACCGTAAACCGTAAATCATTTAATCGTCTGTTAACCTTCACACCGTGCGCCACCAAACCACCCCCCAAAAAAACTGGACTTACCGACTGGCTGATCCGCTGCCGTTACCCACAGAAACAGGCTTGCATACAAGAAAGCGACTCTTAATGAAAAACGAGAGACAGGTGTTTGTGATAGAAGCAAGAAGGGATCTACCAGAGATCCTTTCTCCCTTAAAAAAAAGTTAACCTTGGGAAGGAACTTCAGCTAGTCTGTATGTCGGGCTCTCTCGCTAAGCGGTTTGTCAGCTCGTTGTCTTACAGGTGTTAATTATAATAACGCATCGAAAAGAAGCATCTTCCTAAAAACCCACTTACCTTACGAAGAGCTCGACACCCCCAGCCATGCTATTATAAACTTCTCACCGGCCCGGCCGAGGGGTGCTTTGTGTGATTCACCTATACACAATGACAGCACGCCCAATACAAAAGGGGGGGGGGGCTGTCTTGTTGCCATGACACTGATCGGCAGGATCCGCAGATGGTGAAATCCTCCCCTTGATTAATAATTAATCTGGAAAGGGACACGCAGGAAAAAAAAAACTTCAGCGCCGCCAAATCCTTTGTTTTGCATCAGAAAGGAGAAAACTACACCGTTAGTTTAATTATTGGTCATCCGCCCACGACCGAAGGCGAATTCGCAGGCCGCACGGCATTTATTTTGAAACATTGAGGCCTGTTTTATATGCTTCCGAAAACACGATAAAGGCTGTTTATGTCGTTAAAATACCCCCCCCCCCCAAAAAAAAAAAATTAAGTACTGTAGGTGTACATTAGACGACAAAAAATACTTTTTGCAATAAATATTTTCACGGGGATGTGTAGAAATAAGGTACGTTGTGCTTTAAAGGCTGTAATAAGCTAATAATGTCAGTAACTAGTGAAAATGGTTAAATCAATAACAGTAATGATGATAAGGCTGAGGAGGGGAAAACAGTTTTAACTAGAGCATCTTTCACCATTTCTTTTCACCTCATTGGGAAATTGGGAAGTCATCAAGACTATCACACTGCTCTCAAACGCATTCCTCAAACATGCTTTAATTAGTTCCTCTGCCGACACTTTTGTCTAATTAGCTGACTTAGTTCTCAGCTTGAAAGGGACATTTACAGTAGCAGCAATGTAATGCACTCAGCATAATGAGTCATCATGCTAATGAAGTACACAACTTTGGATACTTATTAAATACATCTGGCTCCATTTAGATTATATGATCATTCGTGGCTCACTGTCATACACCTCAGTGACTGTTTTAGTGTTACACCAGCTCATTAGTGAGTTGGCTGATTGGACACAGGTAATGAGGATACTTTAAGGCTTAAAGTCAAGCTTGGCGAAAATCAAGAAAAAACACCAACCAACAAGACAGTAGTGGGACCAGTAGGGTGTGCTAACCCTGCAGTCTGTGTGGGTTCTAATGGCCCAGTATAGTGATGGGAATACTGTAGAGCTGGGCAATAATTCGATAATAATTATCATGATATAATTTTCCTCAATATAATTTTAACAAAAGTTTGATAAATGTTCAATATATATGTTTATGCTTTGCACATGCGCACAAAATACTGCATGAGTGCACATGCATGTTGCAGACTGGACAGCTAACAGATTTGTTTTACGTTTCTGCTGTTTGGCAAGTGTTTGTTGTGTTCTAAAATAAAGAGTTGTTTAATTTACCAATTAACGGTCTGTCTTTTTCAACTTTCACTCAGGAGAAAAAAAATTTGCTTTTAAACTTGAAAGAAATAATGACATTTATTGTGATAATTATTGATACCAACTGATATGAAATTTATTGTGATAATGTTTTTGGCCATATTGCCCAGGCCTAGAATACTGTATTATAAAAAAAGTGCCTTCCTTTGGATGTCCTGACTCTCTGTGGTCATTAAAAATCCTAGAACATTTCTCAAAATAGTAGAGGTGTTATGCCATCGTCCTGACTGAATTTCCATTGGCCTTTACCAATCATGGCCTCCTAACCCCCATTTATGAAGTGGCTTCTTCACTGTTCTCTGCCCCACTGATAGCTGGTGTGTGGCGAGAGTACTGGCACACTCTGGCTGCCATCTTATCCATGTGGTGCTTTAACACTGGTGGTGGTGGAGGGGAGTCCCCATTACCTGTAAAGCACCGAGTGGAGTGTCCAGAAAAGCACTCTAAAAAGTGTAAGGAATTAACTTTATAGTGACCTATGGATACCTGACTGCCCAACCTTGTGATGATCAAGGCCAGGGACATCTCTTAAAAGTAGCTGGGTAGCACCTAGACCTGGGGACCAGTGAGCAGGCATGTTTCTCCAGGCTCTAGGACAGACAGAACAGCATAGTGTCCTGGTGAGAACAGGGACAAATGTACAGCTTCCCATAGTGCACATACTATTAACCTACAAATCACCATGTGCCCCTCCCTCCAGTGAGGATGGCTTAATTTACCTACATTGTCCAATAAAGTGCCAGTGCACCTAACAGACAAATAACCACTTTCACAGCAGCTTAAGTATTCCTATGCTCTGTATAGGAGTTCTAGAGTTTACAACCATAGGGATATTCAAATGTAAAGGGAAATCCATTTAATTGCACATGCATGCTAATGGTTCTCTCAAGAGAAAACATCTTGACCAATTGTAGAGGTTCAAGAACCAAGTCTGATCACTTAACATTAGACCCCATGCTTCAATCAGTAATCAGGCTAATCAAGTACTGAAGGGACATCATTGATCTGGTGACTATTAGCACAGAGCTGTCCATTCCTTTACAATGGATGAGCAGTAACAATACAGCAGCCAGCAATCACAAATGCCATTAGAACCAACTCCAACACAATTTGAAACTACCAGGTCAGCACCTAGGGTTCAACTTTAGAGAATCAGCACACATCCAAGTGCCAATTGTGATCAACTTCCATTCTGAATGTGCCTGAATATCTAGAAGTCCAGGCAATAGTCTCACAGGGCCAACCAAGAGATGGAGTAAACATGATCCTTAGTCTAGACCCTACAATGCTCCCTGGCCTGTTGGTATTTCTGAATGAAACCATCCAGTAAGTTACTGATTAGATTGACCCAAGACCATATACAGAGAAACCTGTAGGAATGGCAAAGGATCTTACAAGATGCAACTTCAGAGGATGAAGTTTGAAGCATGTCATCAAATCCTCTAGTGCTATTCATTTCACTTGTCCCTTAGTTCCAACAGGAAGGGAACTTGACTCACATGCAATCCAAAAACCTTACACCATTTCCTCTTGAGGAGGAACCCCCACATCCACACCATTGAAGGAGCACTTTAGTCAGTTCCATACAATGCCTGAAGCATACTGCTGAAGTGGGATGCAAAACAATGAAGGACAAAATATCCAAATGGAAGTTCAAAGTTTTATTGGCAAACAATTTAGCATCTGGTTTTCACAAACAGAATAGAAGCAAGCAAGAAGACACCCAGGAAAACGATGGCAACTCCCAGGGCTGGTACAGAGGGGGATTCCAGACCTGGAAACAATGGAAGTCAAATCAGATCAGGCCCAGAGCAGAGTGCTGCAGTGAGAAGAGGATCACTTACCTTCCTCATCCTGCAGAGGGGAAGCAACAGCCTCCTTGTTGGCACCTTTACCTGCAATAGGAGCATAGGTCACTTAGGAGTTCACTACCCTGCAGCCCCTCCAACTAACAGGGAGAGTAGAAAGAATGTTACCTCTCATAATGCCATTGTGGGTGCTTGGGACAGCCCTGCTTCTTTTCAGGCCTGCAGGTGGAAGAAAACCCATTGCATTATTGGCAAGAATCTAGCACCAATTATAGAATTCAACACCAAGACATACAATCCAACATTCAGTTAAGAGAACACTGGTGAGGGCTATGTTCCTAGGTGTTCCCTCACCACCACCCTACATCATAATGGAGGAAGTTAAAGTTGCAGTGACTAGCCTTACCTTTGGAAGGGTAAGCCTGGATAAGGGAGCCAATGCCAGCACTGCGTGGAGCTGGAACAGGCACCCAGTCCAAAGCCAGCATCTGGGTGTCATTAACAGGGTAATAACACCGTACAGTCAACCTAAGAAGAGAATATGGAGAGGCTATGCTCAACAGGATCCACTTCAGGCCAACACTGAACACCATCCCAGTCTAGAGGGATATCCAACCAAAACATTAAAGAACCCAACCAGGAACTAGCCAGCTACCTGTATTCACTGTCCCTTGTGATAACTGGAGCGCTCTCAGGCAGGAAAACCCCATTGAATACTACCTCATTTTCATACATCAGATAGTGATCATCAACCTGGAAAGAGAATCATTTGAGCACTGTGGAGTCAGGAATAGTATATAGACACTCATGTCCCCATTGCAGCAAGGCACTTGAAGTATACACAAGCCTTTACTTGCCCACTTCACCCCCCCCCACAGAAGAATTTGTTGTAGTTCACTGGAGTCACCAGCAAGAGATCAGTGAAAGGTGAATATCCAAGCCCATACCATGAACCTGGTTCCACAGGTAGTCACACTGAAGGTGAACAGAACAGCTGTAGCATTGGTTTCATTGGGCTTGCAGCTTCTGTCCAGGAGGGTTGTTCTGAGAGGGTCAACCATGGGAACTGTAGATGCAACACTGGCCACTACAGTCATAGTCCCATTTGGCATACACACTGAAAGAAGAAAGAGACATTATGGGAGGCCTCCACACTGGACTCTACGAGAAGAGTAATGAAGACGCCTTACCAACAAGCTCCTCAGAATTGAAGGGACAGCGCTTTGTGCTCACTGCTACCACACTTAAGGTGCTGGCATCCCTTATGCTAAGTGTGAAGATGCCAAAGAACATATTGAGGCCAATATCCTGTTGGGGGGGACAACAGGTGGAAACATGAGTTGTTTTTCCCTCATAAAAATACAAGGACACCAAACCAAGTGCAAAACACCAAGGGTATAATTCATCAAGTTTGTTCAGTTCTGACACTATTGGGTCAAACATGTACATCTGTGTGCATTAAGCCTCCAGCAATGAGGAGGAGCAGAACAGTTTCAAGAATACTAGTCCTTCTTGATTAGTAAAAGCATCAAGACTACAGATCCTCTTACCTCATAGGTGTACCCAATTGTATAGAGTGGCACCTCCAGGGTGAGGCCTTGGGTGGTGTTCTTGAGAATGTAACCCCGGTTTGCTGCCAGCTCTGGGGTCAGAGGATCAGAGCCAATGCAGATCTCCCACAAGTAGGACATTTCCATTTGTGTTATGGAGAATAAAATGCTCTTTTCCTTGCATACAGCAGTGAGGTCTTGGTTAACTGAAGACAGAAAGCAAGATGGGTTAAAGCATTGGATTCCCATCCCTTCATGCACTTCAGGTTGGATTTCCAAGGGGTGATCTTGTGCAGAAGTACAAGACCCACAAATCACCCCCCCCCCCCTCCAAAAGGGAAAGACTTCCACATTGGGCAAGATGGAAGCTAATCAAGGTTATGCCAGGAGAAGTCTGGTTCATGTAGGTGCTAGAAATTTGCAGTCATTAACCTTATTGGGTAGTAAGGGATTAAAATGAATCTGGTCAAACTTACTAGGTATGCGGATTTGTGCAGCCACAGTAGCTGGGTGGTAGTATGGCTCATTCTGTGGGACAATGTTGAGAGTGTAGTTGATATTCAAGACGTACATCATGGTTGTTGGTCCCGAATACTGCAAAGACATGGGGCATGCAGTCAGTTTCGATACATTACTGATGCTCACAATTTTTTTTTTTAAAAAAAAAAGGTAGGTCTTACACTTTTTAGTACAATTGGATCTTCAAAGGGGACCTTGAGCACATAAGCATGGGTGCCATTGGGGTGCTGGACCGTCGAGATCGTAAAGCCACGGAGTTGAGCTTGAGGTACAGTCAGGGGCACCCCATTGAGATCCACAGCAATTAGCGCCACATCAGGGTTGAAGACACCCAGATAGACAGTGAACACTCTCTCTGCCAGGATGGTTTCTGAAGTATTAAAACAAACCACAAGCCATCAAGGTGTTAGCGATACCTTAACCACTAAAGGAAAGATGCAATTAAGGAACTGCCGAGTGTTTAAAGAAGTAAAACTCCCAGTTCTACTTTAACCCACCTTCAATATAGAAGGGCAGATCTGCATATCTCATTTACTACTGGAAAAAATGAAAGCTGGGGCTCTGGCAGGATTAGAGCCAAGGTGAGGGAACCTTTCAGGTGACTTACGGTTAATGGTAAAGGGAGTCTGTGGCAAGTAAGGGGTGTGGACTAGTCTCGCCATCCTGTGTCTGGTCAGCTCCTGGCTCCCATCAGCAAAGATGTGCTCATAGTACAGGTTAATGATGTAGCGCTCACTATACTGGTTGTCAATCACATGCACCTGCAACATTGAGGTGGAGGAGAGGGGAGACCACAATCATTGAATTTTAAGGAAGGAGTGGTACAGGATTTAGGTTAGTAGGATTACATGGTTTTGTTAAAGCAACTCTAGCATAGTTGCCAATTGAAGTTGGTTGAGAGTTCCATCTGCATTAACATACAGTAGGGACAACCCATCAAGACTATTTAGACCAATTCAATGCTTACCTCTCTGGACCCTCCATCAGCCCCAAAGGGAATTTGGATCTCCACCAGTGTTGGACCAACACTCATTCCATAACCCTTCTGCAACATGGTAGCATTATCCAGCAGCAGGCCCTCCACACCCATGCGGATGCTGCTACTCACAAATCCAGTGGGAACCTGGACCAGTGGGCGCAACACAATAGGGGTACTCCACAACAGATTAGTACCATCAAATGAGCCAGGATCTTAAGGGGTGGGCAAAAAAAAAAAAAAGGAACACTTTAAAATGGATTCTTGTCTTCTCCAACTAGGAGAGCTTAGGGCACAAAAAGATACTTGCTTGTTGTACAGGCTGTTGACATGTCAATAAGAACCAGCATCCACTTCTGGCGGTAGAAGATTGTCGCATGGATAGTCTCCACCTGAATGCCATTAACCTGGAAAGGAATCAAACTCAAAATTCCGCTGCAATAGGGGGCACATAACACCCACCTCCACCATGCCTTTTGTACTGTGGTACTAGAAACCCTTACCATGACCAGCTCAGAGAGGGGCTGTCCATACGGAGAGCGGAACACAACCCTTCCAGGAGTAGAACCCATCACATATCCCTGGCTCCAGGCATAGCTTGTGTTCATGGTCGTAGGAGCCAGGCCAGTTTTTAGGAAGACCACCTGCCATGTAGCCAAGGCAGCTCTTTGGGCCTGTGGAGAAGCATTTGGTTTACAATCCAGTCCCCAAAGATCAGATTGGCACATAACTAGTTGTGGGGGGTATTCATCTATATGAAGTATGAGGGTCTTCACAGCTACTGTTATATGACAGTTGAGAAGGGTTGGAAAGCTGGAGTGCATAAATAATTGTACAACATATTACCCTTTAATATTACTTACTATGGAATAGGTGATATCCCATTCTTGGGAAATTATCTGGGTCTGAGAGATCTGTGGCACAGTCCTTCTCACAGACACCTTAAAGAAAGCACATTATATTACAGGGTAGGAGATTCAGTCATAGATAAATAGTTTAAGTACAAGACCTCAAAGCTAGTATTAAAATTCAGTTGACCTATTCCATGCAGAAGTAGGTTACCTCCATGTAGTTCTCCTCACAGATTACTTCCCTTGCATTCCATGGGATACTCAAGGTGCAGGTCTTGCTCAGGGGGAATGTTGTCTCTCCACCAGAGGGGTCAATTTTCACAAAGTTAGAGGTGAGGGTAAAGACACTGTCAAGCTGAAAAAGGTACCAGGACAGGACATCAATTTAAGAAATACCACTCCAGGATTGTGGAGGACCATCATAACCCTGAATTACAGGGACTATTGATTTAGCCAGTGTGGAGTACTCATCTCTATTTTGAGAAGTCCTGTTTGGCAACCAACCTGAGGTTGCCATGTGAAATAATGCAAGTCACAACTGAGGCATTCAAGCATGTTTAGTTTAAAAGTAACTTGCAGATGTACTAAACTTGTTTAGTAGTTCTTTATGGCACATTAAGAGCCAGGAAAAGGCTCCCATCTACAGTGAAAAAGGTAGACAATTCCCACCTCATTGTGTACATAACAGGCAAAGTACGAAGCTCTGAAGATCAGCCGGCCAGTCACACTGTTATTGCTGTAGGTGAAGCCACACTCGGAGGCAAGCGGGTCAATGATCCGTCGCACAGTTGCACCATCTAAGAGAGTTTTAGGGGGTTACCAAGATTACTTTAAACAGGTACTGAGCTCCCCCCCTTAAGACTCTGAAGTAATTGTATTAAACAACCATGTGGAGCAGTAATTATACAGCATGTTCATTCCAATGCAACAGGAGTGCCAGAGAGGAGCCAAAAGGTTTTACTTACTAGCAATATCAAAACGATATTTACTGCCAGCAAAGGCGGTATCCAGGGACACCCAGAAGTACCGATCCCGACACTCAATCACCATCGCACCTGTGACCAAAGAAAAGGTCACCTCAGGGGTGGTGTAGCACAGTAACAATTATACTACAGACTCAGGTAATTTGTTTCAGTGTGCTGAAGGACATCTTAGTAGGTGAAGCAGTGTAGTTCCACTAGCCTTCACAATGGAAGGCCTGAACAAGGCGATTAGTATGGCCAAGCACAACATGCCTCATGGAGACTCTTCCACTATCGCTGACATAAGTGACTCTCTCCCCCTCCCCCCCACCACCAAGCTGCAGAGTTTAGAGCCTTCGTAACATTGCATCCCACCTTGTACTGCCCTGGATACAGTTCTTACCAGCAGGAGGAACTGCCCCATGAACATCCACAGGTAACACTGCACACAGCAACGTTACTCTGGAACAAGAGGAATGCCAAGTCACTAAAACAGCCAACCATCAGCTCCTTAAGTAGATAACTCACCAGGCATTTGAGCAGGGCTAGACACCACAGCTCCAAACCTCTAATGGTGTTAGGGCAAGAAAGAGTAGAGAAACTAGGACTGGAGTGTTAGAATACCGTTTCTCCCCCACCAGTTTGCTTTAAGCAGAGCCCCCCTTTTCCAACTGGACCAAGTACCAGACACCTGCACTTAAGTGGAGAAATTGTATAAGAAAACAGCTTTTTTTTATCTTACACATCTCCCAGAAAACAGCTAAAAGTGCACTGAACTACAATCAAACACATAAACTCGAAAGTCACCCTAGTAGGAGCCCCAAATCCGTAATCATCATCCTTGCGCTGCTGTAGTAAAACAAGGCGCCCCAAGCTCAGCAGAACGGTCTTTTTCCTCCCCCTGGTCTTGAAAACAGGAACGAAAACTCGCTTGATTTCCCGAGAGCCGCTGTGGAGTTTATAAAGCGAAAGAAGCACGGCACTGACCAATAGGAAATGATCACCTGCGCCAGGTCGCCCGCCGTCTGCATGATTGCGCTAATCAGCGACACCTGTGAACGTTTTCAAGCTTTCTCACCCGATTTTCCTGCTGAATGTGTAACTCGTTTTGACTGTTTGAAGGTGCGGGCTCTTATCTTACGCAAGAGCAAACGACGTTAATTGACGCCGCTTTCGTCCTTTAATTATGAAAGGTGGGTAGCAATGTTGAAGTTACGGAAAAGTGCGGAATGAAGTTGTCCAATTCACTTGACAGTCGCCCTAGGCTTCGTCCGGCGTCTGCCATTCGTCCTTGTAATGTTTATAGTCTTAAAGCGGGAAAGTAAAATTACAGACGTCAGAAGGAAAGCGTCGAAAAAATACTGGAGCCTGCCTAGACATCACGTTTGGTAAGCATGGGAACACAATAAAAACGCAATTTTCGCGCATGATCCATTTCTATTGAGATAAACAGTAAAAGTCAGTCTGGATTGAGCAGAAAAAACATCACTTCCCGTCAATCCTTCATGTCAATTAGCAGGATTATACTTTCTTTTAAAGAGGCGTATTAAGAATATACAAGGACTGTTAATATATAAGTATTTAGTCTTGAATTTTTTTCTTTTTTAGTGTATATCAGTATTCCTGCCGGTCATCTGCAAATCAATCTACCTTTATTTGTACTTTAGGGTATTTATTAGAAAAGGTTTATTTGTTTACGTGACTTGTTTTTTCTGCCATTTTCAATATTCCTGCTTTGTCTTTCCCTACAAAAGGATAGAGATTCTAAGACGGTATACTTTTATTTTGTACCTTAGGATATTTACCTGTAAAGTTATTTAAGCATAATAGAGTGCACAAAGGTATATTAAGACATAAGCATTTATTCTAAAATTAGCTCATGTTTTTACAAATCTGTTAGGAGACCTGCCTATGTACACGCACATAAGAATCATTTGTTAATCAAGGTTATAGCCATAAACAGTGAGGTGAGAGCTAATAGCTGCCTCTGATATTAGACAGCATGCCTCAAGTTCCTACCACCTCGTGATCTCTGTTGTCTGAGCTTATATTATAATGTATTTTACTGAATCTGTTTCATTCAGAGAGATATGGAGAGATGAAGACAGGTAAGTGCAATTAGATGGATGAGCTAATCTAGAGACAGGTGTGGGAGCTACAGTAGACAGCTGTATTAGACAAGTACACACGCATAGAGCCGGCCTCTATATCAATCATGTGAACACTGGTGCGATATTGAGTGATGTGAACAAGAAGGTACATAGAGCCTGCAATTATCACTTGGTAGGGAGCTAATAAAGAGAGAGAACCAAATCATTAAGCCCAGCCAGACATTGTGCATGAGTAGTTAAGAGATGCAGGCTTTGTATGTGGAAAATGGTGACAGTCTGGACTGGATAAAATAGCTTCACAGAGGGTTTCTATTTTCCAGACCGTCGACACTGGGAGTTCCCAGTCCAGGTACCGGTGACCAACACACTGTCTGGCACTCAGATAATTAAATCGTTAATGCCCTTAATATACTTCATAGTTTCATATGAACTCTTTCATTTCGTTGCTTTCAGTTCCTAAAAATGTTGCCTTGGAGGTAGTTTAACTATTGTGTTTCAGAAGCAACTTTTGGTCTCTCGTCTTTGAATAGAAAAAAAAACCCCTGCAAACTAACCAAGCAAAATGTCAGATCAATTAGGGATTTAAGTAAACTGTATTTCTCCACCCTCTTCCCCATTTCTTAACACAACAGGATTTAAACTAGAATACAAACAGGACTTTCGACTTCTTGGAATGGATATAATAATAATAATTGCTTATACTTATATAGCGCTTTTCTGGACACTCCACTCAAAGCGCTTTACAGGTAATGGGGATCCCCTCCACCACCACCAATGTGCAGCCCCACCTGGAGGATGCAAAGGCAGCCATACTGCGCCAGAACGCTCACCACACATCAGCTATTAGTGGGGAGGAGAGCAGAGTAATGAAGCCAGTTCATAGATGGGATTATTAGGAGGCCGTGATTGGTAATGGCCAAAGGGAAATTTGGCCAGGACGCCAGGGTTACACCCCTTCTCTTTTCGAGAAACAGCCTGGGATTTTTAATGACCACAGAGAGTCAGGACCTCAGTTTAATGTCTCATCCAAAGGATGACGCCTATTTTTACAGTAAAGTGCCCCCATCACTAAACTGGGGCATTGGGACCCAGACTGCAAGTAGAGTTCCCCCTATTGGCCCCACTAACTCTTGCTGGCATACCACTCTCCTCAGTGGCAGTCTGCTCAGATTGTGCCTTTATAATAAGCATTGCTTTATTTTCAGAACATCTCCCTGCACATCTTTCCATGTGTTATGAGCTAATGTGACGGCAGCCATAGTGCGCCAGTATGCTCCCCACAGACCAGCTCTCAGTGGGGAGGAGAGCAGAGTGATGAAGGCAGTTCAGAGATGGGGATTATTAGGCCATTATTGGTAAAGGCCAGGGGAAAATTTGGCCAAGACACCAGGGTAACACCCCTACTCTTTTCGAGAAACACCCTGGGATTTTTAATTTCCACAGAGAGTCAGGACCTCGGTTTTACATCTCATCCGAAGGACGGCACCTGTTTACAGTGTAGTGTCCCCGTCACTATACTGGGGCATTAGGACCCACATGGAACGCAGTGTGAGCGCCCCCTGCTGGCCCCACTAACACCTCTTCCAGCAGCAACCTTAGTTTTTCCCAGAAGGTCTCCCATCCAGGTACTGACCAGGCTCACACCTGCTGAGCTTCAGAGGGTTGCCAGTTGTGAGTTGCAGAGTGATATGGCTGCTGGTAATATGTTCATCATTTCTCTTATCTGGGATTATCTTCCCAGGAAGAGTGTAAAAAGCATAAGTACTGTATAATGGCTTGGATTTTATTGGAGAAAACTCCAAACCGCTTCAGTGGTTAGATTAAAGCAATGTCAGACACTCGTTTCGTTCTGCAGTTCAGCGTTACGGTGAAAATGTCCGTTTATGCGCGGTTTGGACTGGGGTTGTCGGTGGGGCTAGTTCTACATAGGTTTTTAATCACACCCGGGCCAAACCCAGGCCAGACTCTGGCCAGTGGTGGGATCTATATGGAGAAGTCCTCCGAGTATAACGCTTACTAGTCCCACCGCCGCGCACAACACAGCAGCCCTGCGAGAGAGAACTTCAGTCAGGAAGCACGACGCAACCGGGAAACACTGACAGAAAAACGTCTTTGTTTCGTCTTCATTCCCCTGCTCCCACTGCGTACCGGTTTACGACACGTGCATCTGCAGAAAATACTTTAGCCTTCCATCCTTCGAGAGAGGTTTGCATTTATGATTAATACACAGAGGGACTGGAGCCTTCATCACTTACTGTACACTCATAGCTGGGAATGGCCGCGTTGGGGGGGAAAAACCTTCTCTGGACAATATCTCAAAAATTAATGAAGATCCTACTTGAAAGTATGCAAACAATTATGAGAGACAGCGATGCAACAGCGCTTCAAGGATCCAAACGTTTTTTTTTTTTCCATTCAGAAAGAGAAGACAACAATTTGTCTTTTGCGCGCGCCAGGCATTCTTAGTAAAAGGGACAGGTGAGAGCACTCGGATAATGCCAACTGCTCACTATATATATTTTATATATAACCAGAACTCGTTATTTTCGGGGGAGGGTCATCGATTAGTTTTATTCCCATCAGGCTATAATGTTTCTGTCGTGAAACTAGTAAAATGTCTGCTCATGTCCGCATTCTCACACTAATGATGTATTACTTTTCTGTAGCCCTAACGCAATGTGCTGTAGTAATGATAGATCGTTGTACGGCACAAAACATTAGTAAGCAATTTAAACAGCTGAACTAGTATTTCAACGCACTGAATCCCATGACACGCGGTAGCAGTTATTGCCGAAGCCAGTCGAATGCTTTGTTCGGCCTTGACCTCGCCCGCGCTTGGTCGGTCTGTCCGGAGTGGCGCCGGCCGGCCCGTCTCGGTGCGTCCTTCCTGGAGCCGGTTTTGACCAGCACCAGGACGTGAAAAGGGAAAGCGAGGCACCATCTCTTCAAACTCCACGCGCAGCCAGTCTCCTTAGGGTTGCCGAGCTCTGTGCATCAGCATTTGCAGTTGCTGGAGAAGCCCTTAAGGGTTGGAGACGGTGTTGAACATTTTAAAACATGATAGTTGATGAGCCGATTTCACCTTTATACCACTCTAGCTTTTACACTACTAGTTTCATTGCTTTTAAGCAGATGAACATGTCACATAAATAGGCCTGAGGTTTTTTTTTTCCTCAATGGACATACCCATGTAAGTTACAGTGTAAAAGATTGAGTATTGGCAATACTTGCTTATGGTAAAAAGTTAAGGGGACCTAAGACCACACATGATAGATGTTTTTGATGGGTAGTATTCTTCTTTGAGACCGAAAAATTCAGATCACATCAGTTAAGAACCTCAACATTCCAGGCTGACATTAAATTATTTGTTTTATCAAATTATTATATGAATGTTAAATAAAGACATTATTTTCTCTAAAAAAACAAACAAACAGGACGGAGGGTGAAAAGCTTTATTAGAAATGTTCAGCATTTCTCGAGCGGACTCTGACAGCCGCGCCCACAGCAGATAGAAGCAGGACCCCAGCCGAGGCCAACAGCACTCCCACCAGGAGCACGGTGGGGGACAGGGGCTTCTCCACTGCAAGACAGAGGCAGGGTCACACCGCAGTGGGGTACAGCTTTGGCCTTGCAAGTCAGAGGTCACAGGTTCAAATCCTGACATTTTATATTGCATGTTTGACTCGGGTTGCTATAGCGAAATGACCTGCCATGTAAACCCACATACAGAGCCTTCAAAAAGTATTCACACCCCTTTGCTTCCTTTACAGTTGACGTTGCAAACTCAATCACAAAGACCTTCACACAGGACTCTGTGCCTGTGAGCTACAGAAATCACACTATAATGCCAAAGTAGAATGAAAATTCTCTTGATCCTTTGCAGTTTTTACCAGTTTAAATGGTTGCTTATGTTGTGTGAATCAATGCATTAAAAAATTGTCCAGGTTCAGGGGGGGATGAATAGTTTCTGAAGGCATTCTCGATGATAGATGATACCCTGGCTAGAAGTGACAGCCACTAATTCACACTGCTATACCGTTGCTCTCTGGCCATGAGCACGCACTCATCAGTCTATGACACCCATATAAAACAGCTACACAGATGGACTGACAGCTCACTGGCATGTAGGATTTGTATGACTAGAGATCTCAGAGCAGCTCACCTGGTGCTGGAACCATCTGTACTGGCCCAGCAGACACAAACGCTGTAGGACTAGAGAAGGACAGGGCATCAGGACCTGGAGCAGACACAGTGGAGCGGGACGAAGAGATGAATACAGGTTTTTGAATACAGTCTGTTTTGAAAGGCTGAATAGGTTAAAATATTAGGAACCCCAAGACCCCAAAACAGACTCTTAATCTGCGTCTTAGTGACAAGCAAGTGTGGGATTAGTTCAGGTGGGTAGCTGCGTCAGCATGCGTAGGCTGCAAAGGAACAAGTAATAGATTTATTCCATGCTGAAAAAAAGAAGAAAGAACACAACGTTTCGGCCGTGGAGCCTTCTTCAGGTGTGTGCGTCTTGCAGAATAGTTTTGAGATTTCCATCACCATTCCTAGCTAGAAAAAAAAATCACAAAGTCACAGTCCTTTCAAACACTATTTGAACAAGTGGAACATGCACTTCAATGCCATAATTTGTTCGCTTGTCGCAACTGGAAGAGCAGGACACTGACATACCCACATCCTAAAAGCTCCCAAACGCCCCAATAGACAGACAATAATGTCTTGACCTGTATTTCTAATAGTTTAGGAACCCTTACTGAACAACTATTGATTTTTTTTGTGCTACAGATCAGTGAAAATGAATTACAGTTACAGAGCTAAGCAGGCTGTAAACAAATACTTGTGCCCTATCAGTAAAGGATTTATCTTATCATACTCACTCTGTCCAGGTGAGCAGGCCCTGTAGCACACACTACCTGCAGAGTCACAGAGCAATGCTGAACAATGGAAATAGGCCTAGAGAGAGGAAAAGGGGCACATATACATATTAGTAATGGGTAGAAGCGCATAAATTACTGCATGAAAACTACATGGTGACTCTTAGGACTATTATTGTAAGTTAATTAGCATGCTGTCTCTTTTCCTTTCTGTCCCTCTGTTCCAGGACCAAACAACAACTAATGTGTGGCTGCTGGCTGTATGGTGATTTATGAGAATCAAGACGCACAGTGGGATTCCATCTGTTAAGATTGCTGCCTGCTATGCTGAGATAGGACAGCAGGGGGAGCCCTTAGAGTCAGCAGCTGCAGATCAAGGTTTTTCCCTGTACTAGGCTATGCAGACCTTCTGTTTTGGAGTTTTTCTTCTCTGCTTTTGCTTAATGGACCGGGAATTTGAGAGAGAGATTGTTTTGCTGACTAGTTTGGGTTTTATTGCATTAAAGATTATTTTGCTTCTACTCTGTTAAGTGGTCCTGATGTAATGCAGATCTTTCTTCCATTCACATCTGGGCTGTCTGCTCTAGTCATGTGTGTCCAGTCGTGTCATACTGGAACACTGGTGGACTGCAGGTCTCTGGAACTCGGAAATGCACAGGTGCTAACAATGGAGATAACAGTCTGTAGGCCTGTAACATGTCTTCTTTCTTTTCAAAAACTTCTGTAAGCATTGAAGTGTTGAAATCTCCACGTGTTTCAATATTGTGTTCTTGTTACGACATTGATATCATGGTAGCTCACCTAGCGGTACTTGGGGAACCCCCAGCTTGTAGAAGTGAGAGGTCCTAGTCTTTTATAATACCTGGTGCCTTCATCAGAATAAACTTTCCACCTTTTTATTCTTTTAAGATATTTAGGAACTGCTCCAGCAGCTAAGTGAAGTATTCTGACCCTCTGACAAAGCCTGACTGATCTGGATTTCATATGAAATGAATAAGTCCAAACTTTAAAGGGCTGAAAAAAACTTCTACTCGAAATCTGAGTCCACCGGTTCTGGCTTTTTCATGCTAAAAAGTAGAGATCTCAGTCCAAGCGCTGACACTGACCTGTCTCCAGGTGGCGCTGTTCCCCTCTGGTGGCAACACCTGAATCTCCAGCCTGCTGGAGGGACCGCTGGCATTCTCAGAACTGTGGCTTGGCAGCACTCTGACCTTGTAGGCATCACCACCCTGCGGGCACCTGCACAGAAAAACAGGCTTTCTTATAAGAGGAGGAACAATGCGGTTTCTGCAGTGCATGCCTGTGGGAGCAGAGGAGCTGCGCTGCACACTGCAGTCTGGGGAGGTCTGATGGAGACCAGGGGGTAGGGTAAGGGGAAAGCATGTGGTTCTTTTGTCAAACAATACCTGGAACGTAATTCCAGTGCCACCCAATATTTTCAACAAAGAATCAGTGCAGTCATCAGGAAACCTTACTGATGTGGTGGAAATGAGAGGGGTTAGGATAACATAGGCCCTTGAGAGCTGTTTATATGTAGCACTGAGAACAATAGTCTACTAACAGGTATAAGACAAGGTGATCAGCAATATCTATTCATTCGCCCACCACAACTAATTAAGATAAATCATATTGAAGAGGCTGATTTTAATTGGGGTAGCTTTCTAGCCACAAGAACTAGAATTATACTACTGTAGATGTATACTTACATGGGTAGGTGTCAAATACAGCACCTTCCAAAACCTTGCATGGAGTGGTTTGATCACAAGATGGATGCAGAACAGTTGGATTTTGAGATCCCCAACATAATTAAGGTGTGGACTTAACACTTAGGGTTGTGGTGGTATCTGACTCCCCCCCCCGGTTACAATTTCATTTCAGATGGAGCTTGCACATCTCTTCCTGTACTGGGAAGCAGGACAGCACTAAGAGAGGGCTGGATGGGCATTACCCATTAGACAGCAGGTCCAGACGAGGCTCTCCCTTCGCCTCTGGGGTCTCAGTTGCCCAGCAGTCCCACAGGAGGAGCCGGTCGGAGGAGGCGGGGTGATCTGTGAGCTCCAGCTCCAGGTACAGGTGCCCCCAGAGAGCGACGGGGATGGGGTAGGTGGAGTGGAAGGAGCTGAAGGTCTCGTCTAGGGTGACGGGAGGCGAGAGGGGACATGTAAGACCGCATTCTTACTTAGATCCCTAGGATATTCCATTTCTGCCCTGCCTCTTCCAGTTTTGAATTTTCCAAGACCCGATACCCATTGCAGCAGCAAGCAAAGGTATCGTCTGTCCTGGGGTCAAGCTTCATCAGCTCCCATTTGCAAATTGCGCCAAATCTCATTGCTCCATGGTGCATAGTTCTTCCCAGTACAGGTGTTTGGATTGGCCAGCTGAAGTTCTCAACATCAAGGTACATATTCTACTCATGAAAAAAGATTTGACTTCGCAGCGATGAATTAAGCGATCTGCTCCTTTGCAGGCTAATGCATGGCGCTACCTCTCCCCACTCAATAGATCGGAACATGACAATTAATTGACAAACTAGCAGAAGTTCCAAAAATTCCAAAACCCCAATAATAAAATAAGGGGGGGGGGGGTTCACAATGGAAGGTGAGGGGGAACTTGCCCACCTACCCCCTCCCTCCTGATTGCATGAGCCCCATTTACATCTCAGCCTGCGGGATCACAGATCTACCTGTTGCAAAGCGGGCTCTCAGGATCGGGACGTCCCGCGGTCTCCTCTGACCTGTGGGTGAAAGAGCACAGCGGTGGGGAAAAGCAGACCAGAGCACATACAACCCAGCAACATAGCTCACAGCCCAGCTGCTCACTGGAATAGGGCTCAGGCAGTACGGCTGCACTCACACACTGCTTTCCATAAAAGGGAGTACATTTGCTCCCATTGTATACACAACAGGAGTTATTTTGTCATTACTCCAGAAAAGGCAATTAATAATTGCTAACTTTTTCATGCTCGTTACAGCTGAAAAAAGTTCACTATGCAGATCTGTTACCTATATATAAGAGTGTCCCCACATGTACTACTGTGCTGAGCAGTAATTGTGAACTGGTTTGAAAACAGAGACACTAACATTAACAATTACTGGAGTTAATTCGAAGACATTTAAAGGGGACCAGTTTGATCATATCCATAGACCAAAAAAAAACAATCAATACTAATAGTGAAGTCCTCCACAGACACCTCCTCCAGTCCACCTTGACTGGAGTATACTGGCCAGCTTCATTTGGATCCTCAACACTGCCATACCACAGGAAACCCTCAGTTGAACAGACTAATAGGGGCAAGGAGTTTTGGATATTGCCAAATGTGAATGACATCACAAATGATCTTTTCAGTTCCAAAACACTTTTTTTTTTAGAAAAGTCGCCTAGATCTTTTGACTTAATAAAAATCGCAGTCAATGAAATTTACTCCTGTACCCTATGAAATAAAGAACATGTACATTCATGATGTCATAAATATACTGTATAAAATACAGCAGAGCATACAAAATACCTATCATAAGCAAGCCCTAAAGCATCATACCTACCCCCTATAGGGCACCGTTGATATTACCGTATTTCAAGCCAATGTAGTATTTCTTTTCATCTCATTTTATCATTTGTGCATTTCCCCATTAGTGCAGGGGAAGTCCAATATTTCCAATTTTACAGACAACATTCCCCTTCGGCAGATTTTGCCCATTAAATCCAAAGCCCTGTAAACCGAAGTCTGTTAACCTGAGGGTTTACTGCAGTCGCACAAACCACCACAGGGGAAGACCGAGCCAGCTTCCCCTGGCAGCAGCAGGCCTTGGCGATGCTACCGTCTCTCCATGTCAGCCAGGTAGGAAACCAGACCTCTGAGGAAAGGCTCGCTCTGGTTCCCTGGGGTCGCGGCTGGGAGGGGCGTGAATGCTCTGCGGAAAGCCAGGGATCGCGTATCGTTGGCCGGATAGCGGCAGCGGATTGTCAGCCTGTTTTAACGGTGGGGAGAAGAACACATGGGAAAGGAGCTTCAACTTCAACTTGATGAATTCCCCCCTTCAGGCATTTGAGCCTGGCTTCCGTTTGTCACATTTTAAAATGCCCAGAATTTTAAAAAAGCCCAGCCTGAACTATGTGGTTTCAGCTTATTCTGATCTGCAAAAAGTTAGATCAGTCCTTTATAAACCAGAAGTTTGACTAACTCTCCGTAATGGAAATATACTACAAGAGTAAAAAGAATACTTATTACAGGAAGAAAATGCAGTAAGTTCACCAAGTGCAACCACACTGTAAAGCCCTCATTCTGCTTTGGACCGGATCTCATGGGTAAAGAAAGAGAGATGTTAGTTGTGCACAGTTACAGCAGATTAATGAAGAGAGCTGACCTGTATTCCGAATCTCGGTTGATCATGGGATCCAAGGTTGGGAAGAGTTTCTGTGTGTATCTCACTTCGTTCTCGTAGATGAGAAAACCCTTCTCCACCTAGGAAGAAATCATAATTTTGCTGGTCATCTCCCTGCATGAGAACTGTAATCAGACATCACTAAGCCAGAAGCTCTTACTGAAGTGCAGCAAGCTGACAGTAAGCACACAAGGAGCTGAAATGCATCTCGCAGGGGTCTCCACCGTGCAGTGCTTGCAAAAGTTCTAAACAAATCAAGAACAGAAGCCCACTCACCATCTGTATTGTTCCACAGGCGTTGACTCTGAAACGGAAGAGAGCCCTGGTGGCATCCGTTTCTTCAGGCTTGCAGTCTGGGTCCAGCAGGGTGGTCTGTCTGGGGTCAATCCGGGGTCGGGGGTCGGACAACTCCGCCAGTACCATCATCACGCCATCGGGCATGCACACTGCAGAGATAATCCCATTGCCACCGTAACTCTCACTAAGATCCCAGCAAAAGACCAGAAATATCCAGACTTTGTGATTGCATCTCAGTCCTTACTTATAACAGGACGTGGTCAAGGTCAGCTTTCTACACTTGAGAGAGAGAGGCCCGTCATCTTGCCCAGTTGTGTGTGGTTTACAGTGGCCAAGGGCTCTCTTACCCAGAAGTTCTCCCACAGGAAAGGTGCACCGGTGCACAAACATGCTGGCCACAGCCCAAGTCTCCGTGTCTACTAGCCGGACTTCCACTTTTGCCACTACACCTTGCAGGCTCAGATCCTGGAGAGAGACGTTTCCAGCTTTTAACTTCAGTTTCATACCGAACCTCTAATTTTTAATAATAACAACCTATAATATTGCAGACAGTCCTTTTATGCAATCTGACCATCACAGTGGTCCTTCTGTCACTCACCACAGACAAGGAACCAAAGAACCTTTCAAGTGTGTGTGTGGGGGTGGGGGGGAGTCTACCTAATGGGTTGTGTTATGTTAAAAAAGCAGCAATGGAAACAGGTGAAGTTACCCAACCTCATAAGTCATGCTGGAGCTGAAGAGAGGAATCTCTATACTGAAGTGAGTCTTGTGTCTCTCCAGGATGCAGTCTCTGTCCACCACGTCCCAGTCAAGCCGGCGTTCCCCGATGTACGCCTCCCACCGGCCGGCCGGATTCCCATAGTACATGAGCACACGGACAGCCGCATCCAAGCAGATCCCTTCGAATCGGGGAAGCACTGCGGAAAATAAATTGGAGTCAAGCTGTCCAGAGTGTGGATATCCTGCTGTCATGCTGGGCTTGTCTAACTGTGCCGGAGATGGACTGCCCATCCGGGCATCAAGCGCGTGATGCCAAACACCCGCCATGCCACTGGGGATTGGAATACACCGGAGAACCCAGGCAGGTAATCAGGGACTCCAAGGTTTTTCACCATCTTGCAAAATGAACAGCTGATTTTTTTTTTTTAATTCATGACCCTCCGAGTTTCTAAACATCGTTTAAAAGCTGGATTTCAGTTGCCCAGCTCTTCTTATTGGGAAACTCGGGGGAGAAGGGGTGGGGGCATGACAGATTGCTGTAAAAGGGTAAAGATTCATTTCCAAGCTAGTTAGTTCCAGCCGTCTAGTTTTGGTGCCGGAGATTCAGGCCATGAACGATAAACCCATAAACCAAGACACCTGCATAATGCCGACACAGGTCCGAGTGCATTCCCAAACACTGCTTGCATAGCCTCTTTTAGGCTAATCATTTCATGCAGGGAAGACCTTTATATAGAGTCTGGCCATCCGCTGCCCTTTCTTCTCAAGCTCGCCTGTGCATGTGAGCTTGTTCACCTTTGGAGGTGGCGGTTCTGTAGTGGATGAGAACACGAACAGGTGAGCCAGAGCTAGTTGAACAGATGGTAAATGATGGGGATCATCTTGATGAATGATGATAAAACAGCATTTGCCCATGTATTCTAGCATGCGCCTGGAGCAGGGTTAGCAGCCTTGGAATCAGATTTCTAGCGAATCCTTTTTCCTGCGATTCCTTCTGGTCCCGATAAAAACGTATTCAACTTTGAAAAGAACAAACAGTGAACTAATGAATAGCGGGTCAGAGTCTGACTCACCAATGTCCTTCAAGTCACACACAACGGTAGCTGGGTAAAAGAAGACCTCGCCCTGCGGTTTAACAAGCAGGGTGGTGTTGAAAGTCAGGGTGTACCTCCTGAAACCTCCTCCAACGTACTGCTCACAGAGACGGAGAGAAAGAGAAGGTGAGTGTCCCAAAAACCCTTTATTTGTATTCAGGGAAGAAGCCCAAACTTTGGCTTATCCAAGTCTTTAGTTCAAAGCTGTTGGGCTAGGGTTAGAGAATGTGGTTCTTACCTCCTGCGAGACGAGAGGGTCTGTGAAGGGAACCTTGAGGATGAAGGCTTGTGTATCATTGGGGAAGGCCGTCACGGTTATCTCGAAGCCACGGTTGCGGGCCTGGGCCAGAGTTAGGTCCTCACCTCCAACGGTCAAGTTCTGAAGCGAGACATCCAAGTAGAAACCTCCCAGGATGATGGTGAAAATCTGCTCAGCTGGGACAGTGTCTGCAGAAGCACGTGGAGGAAAGAGCTTGCAGTTTCAAAAGCTTGAAAAATCTCACAAGTAACGTCCTCAGCTATCCTTTGAAATGCAGGACTGGTTTTGCTTTCAAATCTCTGTCTGCGTGACTTGGGATGTACAAATCTCCAGGTTCAAACTCTGCAACTTCTGCAGGTAACTGAGGGAAGAAGGGATTTGGGCAACTGGAAGTCTAGAGTGATACTGGCAGTGGGTACACTCCTTCCAGAAGAGTGGCAACACTGACCCTAATTGCACAGAAATACTGCTACAGTACTTTCTCAATGCAATCACATGGATATGGTGAACACAAACGGCACAGCATATTAATACATATTAATTATTAAAGTATATAATAAGTGGGAAGCAATAGCATTGAAAGTTTTACAACACCGTGCTTGTGCCTCTCTAAGAGTGCATTAGCCCAGTTTATTCAATGCAACTAAACAATCCACAAACCAGAGCACGCCTTACCATTGGTGAGAATGGGGGTGTAGGGGATGTACGGACTGCTGAGGGGTCTGAAGCAGCGATGTTGTGTCAGCTCCCCCCGCTCGTCCTCCCACAGGTGCACAAAGAACAGGTCAATGTCGTAGATGCGGTTGTACTGGTTATCGATAACTCGGCTCTGCAGGGGAAGGAAGAAATAGCACCCAAGCACAGGCAGTGAACACAAGCAGAATATAAGTGTTTCGGTTCACTTTTGTATTCCTGACAATTTACCAGGCTCAGTTCCTGGAGGACTGCAATGTCGTATCACTTTTGTTCCAACTGTAGTACTTTTTTCATACTATCATTTTCCTTGCAACTAAAGTAAGTGTTCTGTATTCTAAATAAGGGGTTCATCTAAGCATGTGGTTTTAATAATCATGGTTATTAGCTTATTAATTATGTTCATTTTATCCAGTCAATAGCTTAATGGGTATTTTTCAGTTAAGATGTACAAATAGCAAGAAAAATGGAAACACCAGTGAAGTCAGTTAACAGGGCACTGAGCTACCATTTGGAGCCAAAACACCTGTATGTGCTGTTGCACAGAGTCTGCCAGCATCTGGAATTCTGCAGGAAAGCACCGTTCTTCTACAAGGACGTCACTCAATCAAGGTCTGGCTGAAGGAGGTGCGTGGTTCCAGAATATCCCATAAGTGCCCAATTGGGTTCAGATCAAGTGACCCGAGAAGGTGATGACAAAAGGATAAGAGCATCATGCTCATCAAACCATTGGGTGTTCTGTGTATGGAGGCATTGCCATCTTGGAACACAGAGCTCCCAGCAGAAAATCAATTCTGCGACATTGAGTGAACATGATCATTTAAGACCATTAAGTACTGGTTAGCATCGACCTTGCCTTCTAATTGAGTGTCCATGCCATGCCAGGAAAATGTGCCCCACAACATTTCAGAACCACCAGAACCCTTCACCATTGGAACCAAGCAATCTGGACTGCAGAGTTCTTCAGTTTGACATCACATGTGCGCTTGTCCATTTGTCAAGAACATGGTGAAAGACAATTCATCTGATCGCATCACATTTCTCCACAGCTGGTTAGCCTGTTGCCTGTGCTTCCTGCAACACAGGTGCCTTGAGCAGTATGTTCAATGCAACCTGGTCTGCTTGGTGTCAAGACTGAAATTTGTAAACGCTTGCTCTGCAGTTGCTCGGCTGTTTTGGCTTGTGTAGGCTTAAAACCCATTCTTTCTTAAAGCAAACTCCCTCGTACCGTCACATAGCCTCCCTCGGCTCCGAATGGGATCCAGACTTCCATTAGGCCATTGCGGACACTCAGCTCAATCCCCCTGTCCTGGACAGTGAGGTTTTCCAACAGCCGTCCCTCCACTCCGACCCGCGCCCCCCTGTCCCGAAACCAGCGCCTGTCCTGGATGAGAGGGGAGAGCACCTGGGGGACGGCCCAGGAGAGGCGCGTGCCATCAAAGGTGGCCTCATCTGAGACACAGGGAGCGAGAGAGATGCAGGGACAGTTGCACAGAGCAATTATGCACAATACAGCCCACCTAGATGTTAGCAATGTTGTTGCACTTGTTGCCCCTGAGGGACTTGATTAGACATCCCTGCCAATTTCTCAATTTCCTCTAATCAAATGTAACCCTGGAGGATCACAAGCCTCTTCATGAGTAAAGGCACTCATAGGGACCACAAGTATTATAGTCCTTTTCTATTCTAGGATATTAACCCACCATCACCATAACTTCCCTCTTTCACACAATCATAGATCCCCTATCTACCAGTTTATAACTCATCCCCTATATACATCATATTTCCTTATATACATCATATTCACACATTTATATGTAATAGGAGTACTGCCATCTTGTCTGCCTGACTAATTGGATGAAGAAAAGAGGCTGTCAACCTCCGCTGTCTAGAAAGAGAGCAGAGCTTGGTATGTGCTGCACCATAGGGGGGCAAGATAGCTATGGACCCATGCATACTGAAGTCTGAGGTTTGTTTGGAACCGAGATTATCGATTTTCACAATGGTAAACTTAAATCTATAGTGAATCATCTGAATTTACAGCTCAAAGAAGAGCTACGGTTGTATTACAGCTCTGGAGTCGAGCTGCACAGAAAACCACTTATCGTCCCTGAGACCAGCCTATTACAAGATAGCTGCTACTGCCATGTCACAAGCATTTCAGCCCCACTTGCTGCTTTAACAAACAAGGCTGCATTCAAAGGCAAGCAATGATGTCTGGTGCGCACACACACACACAAAGGAGGCTCTCGTTTTTAAAAATCATCAATATCATCAATGGAAGTTTTCATCAGCACTTACTCTGGGGGCAGGCTGTGGTGACATCAAACATCAGCAGCATCCACTGTCGCTTGTAGAAGACAGTGGCCCGCACGGTCTCTACTGGGATCCCCTCATCCTGTAGGGGGCAGGGAGCAGAAATTACACAGGACTTTCCTATGGCTCAGCAATGAAGACATGCTAGTATAGTACCAATTGTATTTACTATAGCCCGGTTGATTTGGAATCAGCCCCTTTTCCAAGTCTGGGCTTTGTGATTGTGACACCCACTCTGCACAGAGAGGAGGAGGAGGAGGAGGGTCTGCAGACAGGCCCCTCTGGCAATGCCAGTCACTGCTCCAAGACGCCTTACAAGACAGTGAGCACTGACTGGAAAGAGCAGTGTCTCTCTCCCAGGCAGCACCGCCAAGCTGCAGGCATCAGGAACAAGAGGCAAAGGCCAAGAGGACCAGGATCGGACAATGGCCTCCCACAAAAATAATGAATCAACCTATTATTGCTAAATCAATATTTGCACTGCTGTACAAAAATCTAAAGATGTTTTGCACTGTCCTTCTCTTTCCACCCAAAGTTTTCTGCTCTCATAAAACCTTCTTGCTAGCACTTCCTCCTGACTGTGCTTTGAAGAAAAGGGCTCTTAGCTTCACTGATTCGTACAGAGAAGCAATAGCTATTAATGACAAGGAACACCTGACACGTCTCTGACTTGACTTATCCTCTGACTAGTCGATTGAATTTGATTGCCCGATGTGGTGGATGAGCCGTTACAGTGTTTCTTATTGTCTTTTGGCTGATGTGATCGGGTTTAAGAAGACTGATCACTGAATTAACGACTGCCAAATGACCAGCTTTTGTTCTTGTCACTCAATCTAAGCTATATAAATAAAACTGTTAGTAAAAACCGACTACTACGCAGTAGTGCATTCTGTTGACAATGACAAAGAAATTAGAACTGTAGTGCCACAGATCCAGTCTAAGCTTTTTTGCTGAGCTAAAAATCAAACTGCAGTAGGAGAATGCATATCTGCTAACACTGGAGCAAAACCACAGCTGGTTTTTATGTATCCCCACCTTTTTGGCACCTTGTCTGTGCCAAACACTGGCTAAAACCAGAGATCTCCCCTAGAGCATAGATCTCGCAGACAAACTACTGCTATGAGGGCGCCTGCAACCTTACTGTCCTCCATGAACCCTCCCACCCCCAAAAAACCCAGCATAAGTGTGAACGACCTCTGACCTCCAGAGTCTCAGACAGGATAGTAGAGTACGGGCAGCGAAACAGGACCCTGCTGCAGGTGGAGTTGAAGTAATACCCCAAGGCCCGTGCCTCCGAGGGACTCATGGACTGCTCCGCCCTCCCGGACACCTGGAAAACCACCTTCCACTCCGACATCAGCGCCTGCTCCACCTGGAACATGTGCACGTGTGTGAACTAATACGGCCAGCATGAAACGGACACAGGCGCCTACTGTACAAGCACAAGACAGCACTGTGCGCGCACACAGACAGACCGCCTCAAAGTGCCAGAGACTTGACGTCATGGCCTTACAGTCCGGAGCTGCCCACGATGACAGAGGAACAAGGAAAAGACAAAGCACTGCCATGATTCTAATGATCATTTTATATCTCAAGATGTCAAATCTCAGACCAAGCCAAGTTGCCATTGGCACAGGGTGGAAGAGGAGAGGTGGACTTGAGGCTAATGTATACAGTCAGAGAGAAGTACCGCCTTAGAATTCGTCAGTTGTGGGGACGTTAGTCAGGTACTGCCCTTTACCTACCGAGGGGAAGACAGCTGCCCATTTAGTTCTGCTGAGCCCCTGGTGGGTGATGGCTGGGCTGTCCTTCCTCACGGACACCTCAGGAAGAGAGGGCATTGTGGGTAATACAGGTGAGACTTCATGAGACACCGCCCCAAATAAAAACCCGTTCTGAAAGTTAGGGTATGTAATACCAGGGCTCCCTGGTATTCCCTGAGAACAACAGTCAAGCAAGTTCTGTAGATCCTAAACTTAAACCATTAGCATCTTCCAACCTGTAAAGAAGGGCTAAACTGGCCCAGTTACGCCTTTATTAAACTACATGAACCCTCTTCCAAAAGACCTTCACCAAAAACGCTTTAAGGTGAAAACTTGGTGAAGTTTTGCCCTTAAATTGCAGCGGGGAGCAATGAAATACTTTTTAGAAGAATGAATGATACAAGATTCAAGGTAGCACGTACTACAGCTCAATTCACTCACATGGTATCCTCTGCAATGAAGTGTTACTTCTTGAAATCTTTAACTGGTTAACAGACCAGCTGACTGACCGACTATCGAGGAGTGCGGCTCTACCTCCATGTAATTCTCCTCGCAGACGATCTCGCGAGGTTTCCACGGAGACCTGGGTTGGCAGGTCATCTGGAAGGGGTAGGACGTCTCCCACCCGAAATCATCCACGTTTACGAACCAGAACCCCAGCCAGAACTCCTCGTCGCCCTGAAACGGGATCCAAGGAAAAAACAAAGCGCGTCCCGATTGGACACGGAGCCTGTGCCGTGCTGTCTAGAGGCTGGAAATTCTTTTGCGTCCCACATCGCCGCTTTGTTCCGATCCACGATAAAACGCGTTCAAACCATGCCCCTATTTCCAAACCCTCCCGGTTGCCTCCCGCGGCACTCACCTTGCTCTCCACATGACAAGCCAAGAACGACGCCCGGAAAATGAGATCCCCAGGCGTGTTGAACACCACAGTAAAACCGCACTCTGCTGCTTCCTGCTCAGTGAGAGAGCGGACTCTGGCTCCATCTGAAAGAACCACAGAATCTCATCCATTGAGAACTGTTTAGAGATAAGACAGAGCAGGGAAGTGTTCTGTGTATTTGTGTCCAGCTCATGCGTGCCCTACACAGCTGCTGCCATTCCTGTTCTTTATACAACACTGACCAACTTTTGACCAGCATTCCTGAGATCCACTCGAAGTTTAACCATCTGCTGGGCATCATCTGTGAAGAGAAGGAATTCTTCCGCAGATTAAGCTGATGTGCAACCAAAGGTCCGATTCCTGTTCCTGTCCATGTATGCACACGACAAAGCAATGGACTGCAAAACTGTAGACATTGCTTTGGGAGCTGTTACAAGCCATAACTGTATAACTGATATGAAATGCTGGAAAACCTTCCATAAAAATGGGACCTTTTCGTGCTGTAGCCGTTAACAGCATTCATGAACCACCTGATAAAAAGAGGAGTGTACTGTAATACAGGACCAATGACCTTAAAGGGAAACTGCAACACTTTCTATATTTCGGGATTAGAAAGAATCGGCTACGATGAGTGCATTTAAGATAAGAGAGAAGATAAGATCACTTTATTGGCCATATACAATTTCTTGCATTAGGAATTTGTCTTTTCGCATACCCCAGCTTGCTCTCCATGAGACACAGACAGGGAGAGAGAAGTTTGGGGTTAGAGAGAGCAGGGTCAGCTATTGTACGGCGCCCCTGGAGCAGCTGTGGTTAAGGGCCTTGCTCAGGGGCCCAACGGAGTAGGATTCCTCTGCCGGCCACGGGATTTGAACCTGCAGCCTTCCAGCCACAGGCGCAGATCCTTAGCCACAGAGCCACCACTCCGCCCCGCCCTGTGGTCCTTTATTCAGACCACAATAAGAGTAAAAATGTACATAGTAATGTGTAAAGCCTCCGATTTACATCACAAAATAGGCTGATCTTCCCAGACAGTGCGTACACTACACAAACCCTGGGAGCAGATCCGCTTCCAGAATCCAGAACCCAGCACATCCACTGTCTCACCCATGATGTCAAAGCGAAACATCTCCCCGATGAAACTGGACTTCACGGACACCCAGAAATAACGGTCACGACATTCTGTCTTGAAGGTCCCTGCCAAAAGAACAGTTCGGGTGGAGTTTGTTTGCAATTTTAATTTGGACTTGGAATATGCAAGTCTGCCCCCATTAAACACACTGCATTCCTGCCCTTGTGTCAGATCAAGAGCTTTTCTCAGCAGCGTTCCAACAAAGCTTCTCTCCCCACCTCTGATCTCAATTATCTAAATAAACCCATTTGAAGACAAAGTTGAACCAGGTGGGTTATTTAGGTCTTAATCAGCTGCTAATTGAAAAGTACCTGTAAGACCAGCAGAACTCTGGCCTTCAAGGACTAGAGCTGCCCCCACCTAGAGCTAGAATATAATGCACAGTACTAGATGAAGCCACGGTAGCTCAGGCAGCAAGGGCGTCTAGCTCCTGACTGGAAGGTACCGGGTTCAATCCCAGGTAGGGGCAAGCAACGTTGCTTGTTCTAATTCCTTCCAGACAGCTCCCAGGTCCACTCAGCCTGCTTTCCAAATGAGTACCTGGGGTTAATCCTTCTGGGGGTAATAGGCTGGCCGGAGTGTGATGCTGACCACATCACCTCCACCTCCAGTGTCGGATGGTTGAGAAAAATGGTGGCCCTCGCCCCCATTCCCCCCATGGGTCTTTATGGCCCGAAAAGGGGACCTAACCTACCTACTAGATGCCATAAGAGCAAGGTGGGAGTCCAATTCAGAACTGAAGGTCTTTTTTTCTAACGTAACTCACCAGGAGGGACGTTGACCCCAGTACCAACTTGTAACACACACAACAGCAACAGCCTGAAACGGGAAAAACACTGGGATCAAGAGGCATCATCTGCGGGACCAGCAGTCTGTAACGAGGTTCCCCACTGTCCCCGATCTCAGGAATATCCAACAGATTGCACACTTACAATGAAGCCCCTTCTAACCCCCCCACACACAGTGCAACCGGCTCTTTCATACCAACATTGGGTTCAATCAATGAGATGATTATTTACTTGGAATGAGCACAGATTTAAGCAGTCCTAGGTTTGGGGATTTGGGAGTTCCCACTAGCTTGGCTATGGAAGAGCCCTTGGGAGAGAGACTCCCTCCTCTCTGGGGAAGCAGTGGGAGTGTTGGAGGAGGAGGAGGTAGTGTTTGCAAGGGATGTGCCCAGGTGACCAGAGGGAGGCAGTCAGAGAGAGGATCCCAGGCTGGACACCCAAATAAGGGAGGAAGAGCATCTCGGGTCTTGTGCTCAGGCAGGAAGCGAAGCGGCTGAAAGGATCAATCAATCAAATTATATTTGATGGGGGGGGGGAGGGGGATAAAATTCACAAAAGTAAAGTTACAAAATAAGGTTACATAATAATAGATAATAGTGCAATAGAAACTGAATAAAATAAACTCAGACAGAGCTCAATATAAATAGAGCTGCTGTGTGTCCAGAGTCTATGCAGTGCATTATGTCCAAGTAGTGCAGTGTGCCGAATACAATGAAAACCGTGTCCATGTACCCATTACGGGTGATTTGCTGAAGGGGCTGCAGGTTGGCTATTTAGCAGTCTTATTGCCTGGCAGCTTCAAGAGCCCAGATCACGTTTTGCTTGAATTTTGGTTTTAAAAGTTCCATAAACTAGATGATGGAACAAGCTGAGGGATTTGGGTACCAGTAAAAATATCCCCCTGCCAGACGGTAGGAGCAGAACATAATATTTGGGAACCCCCCTTTGTTATACTGAAGGCTACTGTGTACAGTACAGACACTATTTCCTGCCTCACCCCCAACAAAGTGACAGTCACCCACAGTGACGCTTACTGTACGAGATATACTTCCAAACTGCAATACAGCATTCAAACAACTTGAGTAAAACCGTTAGGACCACTAGTCCATCATTCCATAAAAGCACAAAATGCTGTCTCATCTTTATATTTTGACTAACTCGATGTTTTTTGTAAGTTGTATTACACCAAAAAATGTAATTAAGCTAAAAACCAGGCTCCCTGCTCCGAAATCCCACACTAAAGATGAAGCCTAATGTATCTGCTACTGAGCTGCTGATTTAGGAAACAGTCTTGGAGTACTTCACTACGGCCTTCACCTGGCCAGGTGTCTGAACAAAGCACGGAGGTCTCCGGAACCTAATTTTTCATAAATTAAGTTTTTCTCATGGAAGCCCAAAGTCGAAAAGTGCGTAGCGCAGTTATTCGTTCCTCGCGCTCTCGTTAATCTCTCTGGTTTGCTCACTCGCTTTAAAATTTGACTAGTTCACTCGAGCGCTGAAGCTTTTCCCTGGGGTCAATTGGGAAAACCTTTCAAACCTCTGTCGGTAATAAAATTAGATTTTGAAAGTTGCGAGAGAAGATGCACAATTGTTTGGAAGCGTGAAAACGTCGATGTCGCACAAGACCTTACCCAAACAAATCTTCAGAAATCATGATCATATCGTAAGAGCAAGACGGGGCTGAAATCCTGTCTTTGTGGAAAAAAGAATGAAAAACGGAACTGGTGTTTCTGTGTAGAGACCTTAGCAACACTAAACTACACCACCTGAATAGGATTGCGCTAAATGTCACGTGACCGCGTTCCCAAAACGTGGATTAAAGACAACTGAAGGACAGGTGCACTCGGGGCGCTGTCGGCTCGACAGAGCACTCTACGTCAGAGCGTCATAAAAAAACCGTCCCAAGCCCTCATCTGTATTGATGTGAAATGCTATACTATCACCATTCGTCTAAATCTTAAATAGTGTAGAAACTGAGCCTCTAGTCTGAAGAAATCCAGGCTGCTGCTTTAAAGTGGTGCTGGCGGACCGCTAAGTGGTGATCTTTCCTCTCGACAGTGAAACAGTGCCCCCGTGTGGTAAAAGGGGAAAGCGGCTCCCTTCACAGAATAGTTGCAGATCCCCAGGCTGTGTTCCTAAGAACAACAATAATTCCTTACACGTATATGGCATTGCCCTCCACCAACACCAATGTGAAGCTCCCACCTGCACGATGTGACGGCAGCCAAAGTGCACCAGTACACTCAGCACACACCAGTGATCGGTGGGGAGGAGAACAGACTGATGAAGCCAGTTCATAGATGGGGATTAATAGGAGCCCGTGATTATTGAAGGCCAGGGAGAAGTTTGGCCAGGACACCAGGGTAACACCCCTACCAAGAAACACCTTGGGATTTTTAGTAACTACAGTGTCCGGAACTCAGTTTTACATCTTATCCGAAGGACAGCACCATTTTCTTACAGTATAGTGTCCCCTTCACTATACTGGGGCATTAGGACCCACACAAAGATCGCAGGGTGAGCGCCCCCTACTGGCCCCACTGTCACCTCTTTCCAGCAGCGACCTCAGCTTTCCCGGGAGTCTCTCATCCAGGTACTGACCAGGCTCACACCTGCTGAGCTTCAGTGGGCTGCCAGCCGTGTGCTACAGGATCAAACAGATGTTGTTAATCTCGTGGTCTTGTCTAAATTCTGCCCTAGGCCTGCTCGTCTTGCCCTGCCTAAATTGGCTTCACCCTTGAGTAAGGTGCTTCGCTCTGATTGCTTCAGGGAAATACCCAGCTGTGGTCACGATACACAGGGAAGATACTTTGGACAAAAGGAGCAGTCAAGCTCATTAACAACAGGTGGAATATTTTTCCCCCCGATCTGGTGTGCAGGGCAGTTTGAAGTGGGTTCCCTCCTGTATGCAAAGCTGTCTGGGACCCTTTGCTTGAAAGGTCATGAAAGGCATATTATAGTTAACATTAAAAATATATACATACAGTATATTAAACAATTTTTTTTCATTTTAGGAAACTATGCTACTGTTGGTACCTGTAAATAAAGCAATAATCTGTACAGTAATATACTGTGTATACAATACACATTATAAAACAACACTTGCTTTTATGATGTCCAAGTAGGTACAGCAGCTGCGTCAGCGTGTGTAGGCCGCAAAGGAACAAGTAAAGGTTTATTCCATGCTGAGAAGAAAAGAGACGCAGCTTTTTTGGTGTAGAGCCTTCTTCAGGACACCTCGTGTTCTGGACGTTATGTCTCTTTTCTTTTCAGCCTGGAATAAATCATGCTGCCAATGCCTGCCAATACATATTTACCTGCCTTTATTAGACCATGTTATTACATTATGAATAGACTATAATTCTTATACAACACTTGTACTTGTTTATTTACACTACCGTTTAATTACACTACATAATAATAATGTATATATAAAAAGGTAGGCGTTTGAGATCGCTTTGATACAGCAAGTACAACACGCTTATCCGGCGCTGGCTAACATGCAGACAATCTCTTCCTCCAGCACACGGGTTCTGCGGGGGGAGGGGGGGGGAGATGACGAGGCTGAGGCGCGGGTCGAGGCTGCACCAGCGAGCCGTGCGTGTGAGCGGGACACGGGGCGGCGGCGCAGCCTGGGCTCCGCTTCTGGGGAGGAGCCGCCGCTTGTCCGGGGAGCCTGGACAAACACCCTCGGTCCTCGTTCCGTCGCTTTGCCAGGAGGCCGGGAAATGAGCACCGATAATGTAAGTCGGCAGCAACGGCCGAATAGATACAACCGTCGTGTGATAAACACGAATTAAGCAGGGCAATTGCGGATGGATAACCATGCCATGTTTTTAAAGGTCTAAAAAAAAACGTTATATTTGCGCTATAATTCATACAAGAGAAATAATATGAATATTAATGTGATTTAATCTTTTTATAGACTATGCCTCACTGATGGCAGCTGTTATTTTAATAAACGAATGGCATCGGGTTGCTATGGTTACTAAATCGGATCTGTTTGGGGCTACTATAATACCATAGTGCAAATCAGTTTTTGAATACTAGAGGTGAGGTCTTCTTTACTACGTTCACTTATCAATACCGGCTCTGATTCATATCCCTTATATTAAATTCTCCTATTGTAACGTCATGCGGCAAATGTATATGACGTCACGTTCTGTAGAAAGAGGAGATTCAGCGAATGATCTAACGGAGAAAGTGACGTATCCGGCATGGGTGGGGGGGAGAGGAAACCGGAGCGAGAAGTCCTGGCGAGCATGCGAACCCCCCCCCCACAGGCGGTTACTCAAACCCAGACCCAAAACACTAACAGCTAACAGCGATGTCACTGTCATCTTTAATGACGCCTACACCTCCGTCTATTGGACCTGCTACAAATATCTTCCTCTTACTGAGACTACTGCGATTGTTAAACTTAAGCGTAATTCCGCTCACAATAAACATTCAGGACACTTCTTTTAAAAAATGTTTTTATATTATTAATGTATGTGCCTGCTGCTTTAATCCAAAACAGTTTACATCTGCACCCATTTACACAGCCCAGTGTTTTACTGGAGCAATAGAGGTACCACAGTACTGTCTCACCTGGGATTTCGAGGTACAAGCCCAGACCCCTGACCACAGCTCCACAGATGAGTGAGGTCTGTTGTTGGTTTCATGTTCAAGTGGCTGTTGTTGTACAGTTAGGTTACCATTATTGATCATATATCGATTGTCTCTGTTACTCACTGACGTGCTCTTGTCCACTGGCTTGTAGAACCAGGAGATGGAGCAGAAGAGGAGACTGCAGCCCTTTCTCACTGATCTGGCCACACTGGGGTCACTGCAGGTCAGTTGAGTTCTATTATGAGTTAGTTAAACGTGCGGAGGTGTTTGTGGGTCAGTACCGTGCTGTTGGTGGGTGACCTGGTCGTGCAGGGCTGTCTGTGGGTCCGTTTAGCAGAGTGCATATGAGGAAACCCTTTTTCTCCTCTTGACCTTCTGCTGTTGTCTCCCCAGGGCTTCCGGTACTTTCAGCCCTGGCTAAGAGGGAGAGAGGAGCTGCTCCTGACTGTAGTTAATGAGGATCTGGTGGGTACTGGTTTGTGGGCTCCAGATTCCCAGGCTGTCTGCTGAATAAGATGGAATCACACACCAATCTCAGCTACTTTACCCCTGAGTCCACACTGCCTCTCTCCCTCTCTCCCAGTGCCTCAGATCTCACTAAGAGCCCACACTGCCTCTCTCCCTCTCTCCCAGTGCCTCGGCTCTAACCACAAGCCCACACTCCCTCCCTCACTCCCAGCCCGAGCTCTCCCCACAAACCCACACTGCCTCTCCCCTTCACTCCCAGTGCCTCGGCTCTAACCATGACCCCATACTGCCTCCCTCTCTCCCAGTGCCTCGGCTCCAACCATGAGCCCACACTCCTTCCCTAATTCCCAGCCCCTGAGGTTTTCCACGAGCCCACACTGCCTCCCTCACTGCCAGTGCCTCGCCTCTCAGCACACGGTTTTCTCCCTGGCCAGCACCGGACTCGAGCTCTTTGCAGTGCCAGTGCAGTAGGGCTGGCTGTGCGCTGGCAGCAAAGCGTTGTGACTCTGGGTTTGTGGTCCTGGCAGGGCTGGAGGTCTCCCGGATTCCCAGGCTCCATGGCCTCCTCTCCCGGCTCCAGCAGCAGCAGCAGCACAAGCTCCAGTGGGAATGCTGGAGACCTGTCCCGGGACGAGCAGGCATTACTGCTCTCGAACAGGTGGGTGACCCCTGCGTCTCTCATCCCACAGCACTTTTTGGCCATCCGAATAAACATTATGCAACCTTGGCATATTTTAAAATGGTCTGAACTTCCACCCTTTGTGCTGCAAAATGTATTCAGGAATTTAAAGAACCCACACAACAGCTCAAATTAGCTTTCAGCACGAAGTCAAAACACAGGAGGGGTGGGGGACGTTTTTAAAACACGCTCATGGCAGGTTTTGAAAATGCAAAGCCCTTCCTTCAAAAGGCACTCATGCAAAGCACACATTTGAATTGGCCTCAAGGCCAAGGTGTGATGAACATGTGCCGCTATAATGAATTTAACACAAGAGGCTCCAGTGTGCATGCTGGGGGTGACTGAGGAGCCTGTTGAGGAGTGAAACAGCTGCTGTCTCTGAGCTGAACTGCCTTTGAGTGTCAAGTGGCTCCTGTTGTTGCAGGAGTTGGTGCGACATTGGCCTTTTCCATCTTTTCCCTTCTTATTCCACAGCTTGACCAACTGGAGTCCTGTAGTATTTATCTGGTGTGCAGTACATTTGGGGCTGCTTGATTTTGTGCTGCCCATTAAATTGCAAGCTATGTCTTTACCTACAGCTCCGCACAATCAAGAGGAAACAGTTAAATTCAGCTCTAGGCTGGGGGAATCATAGGTTGGCGGGGTTACCAGGCCCCTCTTGAATCATCAGCTGCTCCAGACCTAAGCAAGAAGAGAGCTGAACTTGTCCTGTTAAGATGTTTTAATCTGCATCACACCGTTACCAGAAATAGCAATCAGTGGAACGGATATCAGCCAACCCACAAAGAAAACAGTACAATGTCCAGCTTGTTTATGGAACAGTGATGTGTTTCCTGTCTTTTTCTCTTTCTCCCTGTCTGACCAGGATCAGCGAGGGTTATCTTCTCCCTGCCTCCCCCAGCGACCGAGAGATTGCTGTGCCAGTAAGTCAGCATGTTCCTCATGTGTCTCAGGCATGGTTGGATTTCATTGTTCCCCCTCTGGCCATGTTGCAGTGAAGGACTTTCTTCCACTGCTTACTGGTGAAACGATGAAGGATTTGCCTAGGAGTTCTCATCCCAGTCATCTCTTACCCTTCTGCAGGAAATGAACTGCACCCTCTTCTTATTGGCTGGCTACGCCAAGTATGGCCGCCCCTACGCTTGGATACGGTCCAATCATGAGCGGCTTGTGAACATCGGAGGGGCTGATTCGTTCGTCAGGGACACGCCCATGAAGCTGAAGTCCATTGCTGAATGGAGCACACATGGTAAGCTTGAGAAGGCACCTGTCCAGAGCTGGACTGAAACAGAGGACCTTGCTTTAAAGCAGGCATGCACAACTCTGTTCCTGGAATGGCTGTCTCGCTCGCTGCAGGTTTTCCTTCCAGCTCAGCTCTTAACGATCCAGATTAGCTCATTTTAGCATAACTGGAGCAGTTTATATGCTTTTTCAAACTCGTAAGAAGCTTTTCATTTAAAGATGCACTCTGGTGTATGAGCTCTGTGGGTTTTAGAGGTTCTTTTAACACAAATGGTGAAGAGCTAGAAAACTATGATCATATTTTCCCAATTGTTAGGTCACTTAAACTATTATAATAGTCTACATTCCACAGGCCATAGGCCCATGTGGATTAGAGTTGCTTGTCCCTGGTTTATAGGAAATTGCAATGGTAGTTTACGTCTGTGAAGTCAGCAATTGTTTCAGCTGTCAGTAATATCATGCTGTTAGAACAACTTTGAATTTTGCCAGCAGCTACATCACCCTGCAACTCCCAACTTCCCATTGCATTGAAGCTCAGCAGGTGTGATCCTGGCCAGTACCTAGATGAGAGTCCTCCTGGGAAAGCTAAGGTTGCTCCTTTGTTATTAGGACCAGTAGAGGGCGCTCACCCTGCAGTCTGTGTGGGTCCTAATTCCCCAGTATAGTGACGGGGACACTACACTGTGAGAAAAAAGGCTCCGTCCTTTCGATGAGATCCTGAGGTCCTGAATCTCTGTGTTCAATAAAAACCCAGGGTGTTTCTTGAAAAGAGTAGGAGTGTGACCTCAGTGTCCTGGCCATATTTCCCCCTGGCCTTTACCAATCACAGCCTTATAATAATCCCCCTCTCTGAACTGGCTTCATCACTCTGCTCTCCTCCCCACTGATAGCTGGTGTGTGGGGAGAGTACTGGTGCATTATGGCTGCCATTGCATCATCCAGGTGCTGTTGCACATTGGTGGAAGGGAGTCACCATTACCTTTTTCTTCTTCTTCCTCATTATTATTATAATTATACACTCTCACCTGCATCTTTTCTCACCTCTTCCTCCCTCTCTCTCTCTCTCTGCGGTTGCCCCGGTCAGGCACGAGAGTGTGGGACATGGTCAGTGAGCTGGTGACGCTGTGCACCACTCCTGCTCCCATCAACCCCTTCGCCCTGGACCTGCGGTACCTGGAGCGCCTGCCCCTTGCCGAGCGCTTCCTGGGGTCGGGGGCCCTCATCAACTTCCTGGAGATGATCGTTGTCCACGGCAACCGGGAGGAGCCCTACTACAGCAGGGGTGGGTGTGGCCAGACACAGGGACCACAGTAAACGTCAATGCACACATTCAGGGTCAGCTGTATTTGCAGTCTTAAAACAACAGTCTACAGTCAGATCTTGTTTCCAATAATTTTATTATATTATATTAGTATTATACATTATTGGCAAAAATGCACCATTTAATAGTTTCACTATAATATTTTATTATATTAAAGTTCATTTTATATTATTATTTTATAAAATAATATAATGTAAAATAAACATTAATATATTATTTTATGTTATTTTATTATACAGTCTCTGTGGGTCCTAATGGCCCAGTATAGTGATGGGGACACTACATGGTAAAAAAAGGCGCCATCCTTTGGATGAGACATAAAACCGAGGTCCTGACTCTCTGTGGAAATTAAAAATCCCAGGGTGTTTCTCGAAAAGAGTAGGGATGTTACCCTGGTGTCTTGGCCAAAATTTCCCCTGGCCTTTACCAATAATGGCCTAATAATCCCCATCTCTGAACTGCCTTCATTACTCTGCTCTCCTCCCCACTGAGAGCTGGTGTGTGGTGAGCTTTCTGGTGCACTATGGCTGCCGTCGCATCATCGAGGTGGAGCTGCACACTGGGGTGGTGGAGGGGAGTCCCCATTACCTGTAAAGTGCTCTGAGTGGAGCGTCCAGAAAAGTACTATAAAAGCATAAGCAATTATTGTTAATAATTGGTATTGTTGCATTTTGTCGATTTAATCATTTGAATGGGTAAGAAAACCAGGAAAGAGAACACAATGCCTGATTTTGGTAGTATATCCATTTTTAATACCATGAATCGGTACCCTGGGAGGTGTTTTTCATGCTTGTGGGAGCAGCCTGCTGTCTAGACACGGGCACACTGCATGCTCGGAGCCCCCCAGTGACCGGGACCCCAGTCCCAGCAGGGGCAGGGCGAGCTTGCGCCCCCCTGACACGCGTGTGCGCTTACGCGTGACCTCACTGGCTCCATCCTCTCCACGCAGTGACCGAGGACCTGGACAGCCTGCACCGGCTCCACGTGCGCGCTCTGTGGGACGTCCAGCAGAGGGCGTCGGACAGCGGTCAGGTCACCAAGGGAGAGCCGGAGGAGGACTGAAGAAAACAGACCGTTCCAGGGACTAACACTGAAATCCAGAGTATCGATTTGCTAATTTGAACACAATTAAATTATATGTTTGGCTCTTAAAAAGATGGTTCCAAATCTGAGATTTCCAGACCTGAAACAGATCGCTGTAGCACTTTCAAATGGGTGAACAGTACATCAGCAGGCCTGGAAAACCCTGCTTTAGGCTGGGGAGCGTCAAGCCTTCATCCCTGCATTGCTGCAGCAGTGCCGACATCCAGAAAGCAGACTGCAAGCACAGGCACACAATTAGCCCCTAACCACATTAATATTAACAGGAATTAAACTTCTGATTGGCAAGGAGAGACTACAGTGCTTTCCTGAGCATTTGCCCTTTTACTCCAAAGAGGAAATCAAGTGGAACTCCTAAAATCAAAACCCTTATTTTTTTTGCAGGAGATCAGGACCAATAAACCGAACCCGAAAACAACCGTGAAGTGCTCGTCCCTCTGTTTCCTTTCCTCAGTGAACGGGCAGCTCTGTGCGCGCTCAGGTAGTCTTTCTTCCCTGGAGGAAGGAACTGTGGTTGTCGCCTCTGTCCCAGGTGATAGTGCTTTCTACTGCACTTCTCTCCCCTGTTGCCTCCCCACTCTGGGATCTTCGGTGAAGGTGATCAAATGGAGGCTGAAGCACAACTCCGACCCGCCCAGCCAAGGTGCCTGCCTTTCAGGGGAGTCAACACTGATCAGATCGAAATGGCCGATCAGACAGCACCTTCACAGAAACCCCGTGCAGAGTCTGTCTTTCAGTGTGTATGTCGTAGCCTGCCACTGTATCACCCTGCAACTCACAGCTGCCAAGCTGCTGAAGCTCAGTAGGTGTGAGCCTGGCCAGTAACTGGATGGGAGACCTCCTAGGAAAGCTGAGGTTGCTGCTGGGCCAGCAGGGGACGCTCACCCTGTGGTCTGTGTGGGTCCTAGTGCCCCTGTAAAGTGAGGGAGACAATATACTGTCAAAAGGTGCCGTCCTTCGGATGAGACATAAAACCGAGGTCTTGACTCTCTTTAGTCATTTAAAATCCTGGGGCATTTCTTGAAAAAAGTAGGGTGTTACCTCAGTGCCCTGGCCAATTTTTCCCCAGGCCTTTACCAATCATGGCCCCCATCTCTGAACTGGCTTCATCACTCTGTTCTCCTCCCCACCGAGAGCTGGTGTGTGGTGAGGTACTGGTGCACTATGGCTGCTATCGCATCATCCAGGTGGGGCTGCACACTGGTGGTGGTGGAGGGGAGTCCCCATTACCTGTAAAGCACTTTGAGTGGAGTGTCCAGGAAAGCGTGATATAGGTGTAAGGAAGTCTCCTTGGGCGGGATCAAGTTAACTCAGCAGTGCCAAAGAAAACACTGACACAGTTACTGTATAAAATCATAAGACTTTAATATTCCATAAAATACATTCAAATATATATAAAAAAACTATTCAAAATAAAAATAACAGGTGACTTTTCTTCCCAAGAAACAGGAATCGTCCCATTTACTTAAGGATACCTTTAATACTAAATGCAAAATAAATTAAAAGACGCCTTTTCTGAACATAGTCCAGACATTGACATTGGTAACATTGGAGAATTAAGAAATTCTTAAATTCCCCCTAAATTCAAGCTGAACCTTTCAACATAGCGTATATATGCAGTATACGTTCCCGACGGCAGGTGGCAGCACTTAGGTGATAAAACCACAGAACAAGCAGGGCATATACAATACACACAAGGAACCCGCAGTGTTTATCTTGACCAGCAGAGGTCACTGCTTTACCATCAGCTCTGAAGCAAACAGGAAAAGTTTCCAGGACTGCATTTGATGTTTTTTTTGTAACAGCAGAACTAATGACACTTCGATTATCTACCTGCCAAAGAACAGAACACTGAACAAAACACCAGAAAGAGATTTAACTGATCACTTTAGAACTTGGCATGAAATGCACATACAGACACGCGCATTCAGGAATCCCCAATCCAGTGGGAGGGGAGAGCTGTTGAATTTGTTTTGGCCCGATAAGAACATGCTTGGTGCATTTTGAGGGGTCTAGAGTTTGGCACCCCATGCCGCAACGCGAGGTGGAAAGCAATGTCTCCGCCGCTCTCGACATCAAGAATCCCAACCACAGGTCCGAGCCCAGCTGTCCGCCGCGCTGGGGGTGCGGCCGGGGTTAAGGAAAGGGGGAAGCTGGCAAACAGGCCGCTGGATTTGGGAAGCGAACCGGATGAGGCGTTTCCTTAGCGGTGCCTTTCGGCCGATGAGCGGTCTCATTTGCCTGTGAGATCCCTGGAGCAGGACAGCGCCGACTGGCTCCTTGGCACACAGCCGGTCCCGATGGCCGCTGACTGGGCGTGCTCCGTTCCCTGCGGCGCCCGGGGCCGGCTGCCTCCGCCGGGCTCTCAGCCGCGTGTGGCCGAATATTCGACACCGCGAGTTCCTGTTCGAGTTCGTGGCGCGAAGCTAAAACTCCCGTCCCAGAGTCGGGCATCACGAGGGGCTCAAGTCGATTCCCGAACCCATCGCGCATGAGGAGATCACGCTACTGAAGTGTTTCCTGGAGGCGTCACTGGACTAGAGAACAGCGCCCCCTCCCCATCCCCCTCCCTCCTTCCCAGCTTGACAGGAGAGAACGTATTGGGTTACATAACAGCAAACACTGTGGTAAGACAAGAAACAACAACAACAAAAAAAAAATACCAGAACTGCTGCATTCCAGAGTGCCACCATGAACAAAAAAAAAAAAAAAACAGGCCTGTCCTGAAAATAACTGAACTTGTGCCCAACTGCTTTGGTCAAGAAGCCAAAGATAAATGTTTTTTAAAAGCTGCCAGGGTACATTCTGTGATTCTTTGAGGAGGGGAGATTTAATTATTATTATTTTTTTTTTTGAGAATTCCACTTTGTGCACTTCAGAGCGCCCTCGCCCTCCCCCACACACATGCGCGAAGGGCCAAGGGTTTTGGGGGGGTCAGAGAGGAGGAGGTAATGACAATGCGTCAGTTCCACAGAGCTATTCCCTGTACCCGGCCTTCTGCCTCGCTCCCTACAAGACGGTCCTGTCTGAGGGAGGATGGGGGCTGCGCTCAAGACGGGCTGTGACCTTCATTGACCGTTTCAACGAACTTATACGTTTCGACTAATTCTATCGGTTGTAGCTTCGGAAAGACAAGCGGTGAAGAAAGAGAGGGGCCTGAACATCGAACATCAAACGTGCGCTTGAGGTGCCCGTGGGGCGGCTCTGAACATCACGGGCAGATTAACGGGTGATTCGGGTTTTTTTTTTTAAAAGCCACCCACGGAGCCGTTCGTTATTCACGAAACGGAAACTCTGGGGAACTGCGCGTCAGTGGGGCAAGGCGCCATGAGGCGGCGCACTCCGGCCGGACAGCACGGAGCTGCCGGGGAGTCCTCTTGCACTGGGCCCCGACAGCGGGAGAACTGCGTTAGTCGTCTCTCCCAGCAGCTCTAAAACACGCCACAGACATTGCAGGAGCGGGGAAGCCTGTGGAGACGAAACGCGCGAGGAATGGCAGCAAGCCCCGACGTGCACCAGGAGCTCGCGAGCGAACTGTCGAGCCCCCTCACCCAAGGAAAAAGAGGGGGGCACCCACACTGGCGGCTGTAGAACGAGCAGCTGTAACAGGACGTGTGGAGACCGGCAGCCCCCCGGGGCTTTCCCAAAGAAAGCGACAGGAAAGTGAACTGGATCCAGCGACTCCATTTCGATAGAGGTTCCGGCGGTGTCTGGGACACGGGACTTCTCGGGGAGGACGGAAAGGGACCCCAGAGTTTCCCTCTCTCTCTCTCTCACTCCATCTTCCCGAGGAGATCGGAGATCCGTTTTGGTTTGGGGCACCGTACCTCTATTTATCCTCCTCTCCCCCGTCCCAGAAACACAGACCAACTTGCGTTTGTAGCTTTAACACTCGGCGTAAAAACAATATGGAGAGAAAACAAAATGTAAAATTCTTTTTTTTTTTAAAAAAAAAAGCTTGTCCCACAAAGTCAGGCAGAGGTGGCTGGAGGCGTTTGTGTGTGGACTGTGCAGGTGTCCACGGCTCTTCCGGCTCCCCGTCCATCCCTCTCGGCGCCTCCCTCCCACCCCCCTCCAGTCCCACCGGTCACTCAGCTGCGGGCGACCAGCGCCAGCCCGAGGCGGTGGGCGCCAGGCCCGTGCCGGCCTCGCCTCACGTCCAGGAGCGCCGGTCTCCCGCCGCCATCTTCCTGGCGAAGGCTTTGAAGGGCGTGTGCGAGGCCTGGGTCCTCTTCTTCCAGCGAACTGGCTTCACAGAAAGGAAAGCAGCTCAGTGGCATCGACGTGGGCAGCCCTGGCACAGCGGCGCAGCCAGAATCCCTGCGCCGGACAGGGCGCGGGACTATGGGTGCACGCTCGGTGCCCTGGAGTTAACGAGTCCCTAGCTCAGTCTCTGGACCGGACAGGCTCTGCTGGCTTCCTCTAAGCTTACTCCTGCATGGACGGCTCAGCTGAGCTGGTGCCTGGCTTAGTCAAGATTAGGCAATTTTTGCCCCTGGTCCATGATGCCAGTACAGATAAAGAGAATGGGAGGCTCTGCAGGTATTCAAACTCAATCATTAGCATTAAAAACATCATGGAATTCTCTCTCCTCTTAAGGGCTGGTGCTGCCCATCCCAGATCTGCAATATGCTGCCCTGGATGTTTGGAACATAACCCTCACAGGTAAGAGGCCATTCAGTAGTCTAATTGGTCTTAATGGAAAGAGTTATTCTAGCAAAATCACTTTCAATCAGCTCTGCCTGCCTGCCTTTCCAGAACTAGGGATACCCATCTCCTTGCTCAATCCCATGCACATTCAGTCTCTCCTCATGCCCACTCACCTTTCCCGAAGTTTGCTGGCAGTGTGGAGCTCCTCCCATCAGGGGGCGGGGTCGCGAGAGACCCCGCCCCATCGGCCCCTCCCTCCTGGGCAGTGGCCAATGGCGCCGCTCCCTCCGCCTCCTGCCAGTCGCACAGCGCCTTCTGGAAGGACTTGGCCAGGCAGGCCGTCATGTCTCGCGCCCGTTCGGCCCGGCTGCACCAGAAGACGCGGCACTGCAGCTGCTGGGCCCGGTGCTTGCAGATGTAGAGGAAGACGTTGGGGTGGGTGGTGTCGGCGGCGCAGTAGGCGATGTCCTGCAGGTAGGTCTTGGTCAGCTGCCGGCCGGTGGAGATCTCCTTCACCTCCACGTAGCGCGGGCGCACCACCAGCGCGTGGTCCTTCCCCATCTTGCCCGGCGCCCCCTCCAGCAGCCGCGCGATGGCCTCCTCGGCCTGCTCCAGGTCCAGGGAGTAGATCTTCTCCATGCCCAGGTAGTGCACCTTGAAGAGCGGGTCTCCGTGCGACAGGCTCTCAGTCCGGTCGCGGCCGAACTTGCGGCGCAGGGCGGCGGGGGAGTTGCGCAGGGTGCGCATCAGCTGCAGGGGTCCGAGGGCCATGACCGCGAGCCTCGACGACCGGGGCTCCGAGGAAATCAGCCGCGGCAAGCGAACGGCCTTCGACGCGGCAGGCGCCCTGCGTCCTGGGCCGTTTCTCCGGCTCCGCCGGCGACAGGCCCTCTCTCATTCACAGGGGCTGGACGACTGGGGGGAAAGGAGAAAGACCATCAGGTGTCAGAAAGATCGGCTTGAGCAGCGCACGCAAAAATAAGCCAGCACCCGATTCCAAACCGAATCCAGATCGTTACGTTCGAACCGGCACACCGATCTGGGAAACTCCGTTGGTTTTCCTTGCCTCACTACGCACAGGCCCTAGCAGCTGTGGAAATAAGACTCCGCTTGGAGAGCTCTCGAAGAGAACACGTGCAGGTTTCATTCTTTTGGTTTCAGCCCGGGCACGAGGAAAGAGCACGGAAAGTGTTTACTGGCGTCTGTTACTGGGCTACAGAAAGGAGAGCTGCTGGCACGCAGGGGGGTTAGAGAAGGAGAGTCGGTCGGACTCTCGGGGCTGGGGTGACCACACGGGCCGGGGAGCAGGCTTCTCCATTCAGACAGAGTGTACCGGCAGCAAGAGCACAGTTAATACAGCACAGGCCCCTGCGAACATTAACCAGGCGGACCGAGGCGCCTTGTCCACACATTCCAGGAGGAGGAGGTGGAGAAGGGCAGAGGTCATCAAGAACAGCGCTCCCGACTCCGACGAGCCACCGTAAGGGAGTCGCGCGCTCCAGATCGCTCCACACATTTCCGCATTCGGAAATCCCCCGTGGAGGCCCGGTCACATTCCCCGACCGCCCCGATCCAAGTCCACAGGGGGATCTGCGGAGAGCAAAGGGATCTTCACGGTTGCACCCCACCTCCGCTCCCGCTGAGAGGGCCGGACTCCCAGAGGTTCTGGGACTGGACCAGGATCACTGGTCAAAATCAGATCTTCCAGCTGCTGTTCAGCCGGGATACGATTGCGACCCCAAAACCACAAGCAGTAGGACTTTTTATCCAAATGATTCATTCAAATAAATAACTAACACGAAAAGTGACATGGTGGCATTCTCTCTTCTCTTAAGATCTGCAATATGCTGGCCTGGACGTTCGGAACAGA